TTTTTCACACTTATAACCGTCGCAGCTTCCTTGGGGTAGGGGTGGGTTGTCACATGATCAAAAGTGGAACCCTTGGCATATATTTATGACGGTTGCGGTATTCCGGAGGTCACATGATCGATTTTTACATAATTCTGACCAGCAAACTGTTTTGTTTGTTTATGTTTTATTAAATTTGTATACCGCCCTACTCCCGAAGGACTCAGGGCGGTGAACAGGCACAAGATAAAATACAGAAATACAAAAGTTAAGAACAATTTAAAACCAAATTAAATAATATTGGCCCACGACAATTAAAATCCCAATAAATTTAAAACAAATTAAAATTTAAAATTTAAAAGAAAGGGGAGAAAAAATTAGGCCAGGCCGGCTTGCTGGAATAAACTCAATGGGGAAAGCCAGATTCGCTTCACAACCCTATTACCAATTTAAGAACTGGAGTGATTCCCTTAACAAATGTGGCCAGCATCGTCGTAAAACGGAGCAAACTCGCTTAGCCAACGTTTCATTCAGCAACAGACATGCTGGGCTCAATTGTGGTCGTAAGTCCACAATAATAATAATAAAAAATTCCTTTGGGTGCCTCATCCCCGCAATTCCAACTTTTTTGCAACCCAGAAAATAAATTCAAATATTTTTCTTTGCATCCTGAAAAGGGAAAAAAAGACCTTGGATCCAGCTACCATACCGCATCTGATGCTGCGGGGAAAACCTTCTAATGAAATCCAACCGTAGAGATTGCAAAAAAAAAAAACCCAAACAAAGAAACAAACCCAAAAAGGTAGAATTTTTAAGAAATGCCAGTGAGCCTTCGCTTCCTTTTTCTGCAAAACATGCAGACGGCAAATGCAAATTCATCCCTGCGTCTAAGGCCCAGCGGTTGACTTGCTCAATCGTACCAAAGAGTGAAGAAGTCCGTATTGCAGAAAGTCGTCGACTTAATGACCGCAATTGGGGCCCAAAATTTCTGTTGCAAAGCGAGACAGTTGTTAAGGGACATCTGTCTCGCTTTTTACTGCCGTTTTTGCCACAGTAAATCAGCACAGTCGTTAAGTTACAGTAGTGGCCAAAATTGTGGAAACCTTTTGGGAAAAGTGTATTTTTGAGATTTGGTGGCTAGTAGTACCACTTTTACTTTTGGAGTTTCAAGATAATCCTATTCCACTGCTGGAATGGCCTGGGAATAGCCCAGACCTTAAACCAATGGAAAATCTATGGAGCCGACTAAAGAAACTTGTTAGTTAGAAGCGACCCAGCAATAAAACCCAGTTAATAGAAGCCATCCTTCAATCTTGGTTTCACATGATAACAGCTGCAGAACTCAAAGACTTGGTTTGCTCCATGGGAAGACGTTGTAAGGCCGTAATTCATGCTAAAGGTTACCCAATTAAGAATTAACTGACATGGGGATCATTTTTGTATATCTCGTTTTTTTCTATGGTGATCATTTTTGTATTTCTCGTTTTTTCTGTGTTTCCCTTTTCTTCTTTATACTGTCACTGCTATTCTAAAAGCAAATCCGTCATCAAAGTTATTGCATTACATTCTTGATCAAATTATCTTTCCATTGATATATCATTTTATGGATCTATTCCAAAAGAAAGTGGTGTTATTAGCTAGTTTTAGAAAAATACACTTTTCCCAAAAGGTTTCCACCATTTTGGCCACTACTGTAGTCACAGGGTTGTACGGCGAATCTGGCTTCCCCTATTGACTTAAGACCTTAGCGGCATCCCCTTGGTCATGTGATCAAAATTCGGACGCTGACTCATGTTTATGACGGGTTGGAGCGTCCTAGGGTCTCTTTGGCGATCTTTTGACAAGCAAAGTCAATGGGGAATCCAGATTCACTTCACAATCGTCTGATCGATTGAAAAAGTTCAGCAATTCGTTTAACGACTGTGGCAAGCAAGGGAGTAAAATGGGGCAAAACTCACTTAACAACCGTCTCCGAGCAGTTCGGAGAACTGGCAAATACCACCTCTGGCTACCCCAGAGTGGGGTGGGAATGGGATTTTGCAATATCCTTCCCCTGGAGTGGGGTAGGAATGGAGAGTTTGCAGTATCCTTCCCCTGGAGTGTGGAGGGAATGGAGATTTTGCAGTATCCTTCCCCCAGGAGTGGGAGGGAATGGAGATTTTGCAGTATCTTCCCCGTGGAGTGAGAATGGTGATTTTGCAGTATCCTTTCCCCAGGAGTGGGGAGGGAATGGTGATTTTGCAGTATCCTTCTCCCAGGAGTGGGGAGGGAATGGAGATTTTGCAGTATCTTCCCCGTGGAGTGAGAATGGTGATTTTGCAGTATCCTTTCCCCAGGAGTGGGGAGGGAATGGAGATTTTGCAGTATCCTTCCCCTGAAGTGGGGTGGGAATGGAGATTTTGCAGTATCTTCCCCGTGAGTGGGAATGGGATTTTGCAGTATCCTTTCCCCAGTGGGGGAGGAAATGGAGATTTTGCAGTATCCTTCCCCTGGAGTGGGGTGGGAATGGAGATTTTGCAGTACCTTTCCCATGCCACACCCACCAAGCCACGCCCACCAAGCCACACCACGCCCACCAAGCCACACCCACAGAACCGGTAGTAAAATAATTTGGATTTCACCCCTGGCTTGTAGTAATAATATTCTGCCTTCATTGCATAGCAGTTCAGTTCTGAAGAATGGAAATATTTCCTTTTGATAGAAGAGCAGAGTTGGAAATGATTGTCTAATCTCTTCTTTAAAACCTCCAGGGATGAAGCACCCACAACTTCTGGAGGCAAGTCGTTCCGCTGATTAATTGTTCTCACTCTCAGGAAATTCCTCCATAGTTCTAGGTAGCTTCCATCTGTTGCTTCTGGTCCTGCCTTCAGGAGTTTGGAAAACTAGGTTGACCCCCTCTTCTTTGTGGCAACCCCTCCAATACTGGAACCCTGCTAACCTGCAGTTAGCACCCAGAGAGGCCAGGAACGCAGGTTAGAAAATGCCGTTTTCTAACTTGCGTTCTTTGCTTCTCCTGGTGGTCTCCCATCCAAGCGCTGACAACTCTTTATCAGCTTTGTGGCTGGCTCACTTGGGCCAGCCGAACCACAGGAGAGAGAGAGTGTCCACTTTGCTTCTTTTTTTTTCCCTTTTGCTCAATGCCGCCCGTTGCCGAGAAAACTCTCCGTGCAGTTTTGCCTCAACCGGTGAGTCACTTCAAGTGTGTGATTTAACACCAACAGTTGTGAACAAGACAATTTTGTTTGCTCGGAGCGCTATATTTATACGAGGGGGAGGCACCTCTCCTGACCTTCCTCCCGTCAAAATCGTCAGGTTTTCGAGCGGGCCTTACATAACAAAGCTGTTATTTCACGTGTTACTTGAAGTAAGACAACGAGCTGGCAGATGGCTTCAAACCAGGGTGGATAAAAATCAATGATTTTTTAAAAATTTTTTTTAAAAAAAATCGGATTTTTTTGATTTAAATCGGATTTTTTTGATTTAAATCGGATTTTTTTAATTTTTTATCAAACTTATTTTAATAAAAAACTTTGAGGGTAAAAATCTATCGTAAGATAGTTTTCTTTTTAAGATACAGAAATAATTGAGTTTATTCAGCATGAAACGGAGCTTAGTTATGTAGCAGGAGGCTGTATATTCTGCAACACTGGGACTATCGGTGAGGCAACAGTGGGTCAAAGGAGTAGCAGAGATGACAGCCGCTCTTTAAAAATTACGATTTAAATCGAGTTGATTTAAATCAAGCCTTTTTACTAGTGATTTAAATCAACTCGATTTAAATCAGATCCACCCTGCTTCAAACCGATTTCAGCCTATGAGGAGGGAGAATCGGGGTTCCTCTCTTGATTTAAGAGTCCCTGACAGCGGTGGGATCTCCGATCTTGGATCCTTGGTCAAAAAACTTTCATTTCTGTTTCTGCAGCACAGTGTTTTCCAACCTTGGCAACTTTAAAATAGATTAATTAAAAGATGTAGTGAAGGATTGTATGATAGCATGGGGGCGAAATTTTGGATATCCCCTTGACTTCCAGCAACGGGAACAGATTTGGTTGAAAAATATGAAATTAACCTTGGCTTCTTCATACAAAGAAAACATATATAAAATGGTCTACCGTGGCATCTCCCCCCGGCGAGATTAGCTAAAATGTTTCCCAGGACATCTGTCTGCTGTTGAAAGTGAGGTTACAGTAATGGAACTTATTTTCACCAATGGTGGACCTGCCCGCAGGCGGTTAAATATTGGAAAAAAATACGGCAATGGATTTTGGAAATTACACAGATTAATTTGGAATTAAGGCCCGAGATTTTCCTATTGGGGGCAAAACCTTTGAATGTTAAATCAGATATATGGTTCTTGTTGATTCACGTTATTACTGCAGCAAGATTAGCGTATGCGCAGGAGTGGAAAAATCAATACTTACCGATGGATTATTTTTTTTAAATTTGATTTATATGCCGCCCTTCTCCGGAGACTCAGGGTGGCTTACAATGCGCTAAGCAATAGCCTTCATCCTTTTGTATATTTATACAAAGTCAGCTTATTGCCCCCACAACTGGGTCCTCAATTTACCTACCTTAGAAAGGATGGAAGGCTGAGCCAACCTTGGCGAGATTCGAACCTGCAGTAATTGCAGGCAGCTGGTCTTAATAACAGGGTGCTTTAGACCACTGTACTACCAAGGCTCATTTGAAAATAATATATAAAATTAATGAGTGTGCGGAACCAGATAGATTAACTAGACTGATCAATGGTAAAAAAGATTCAGAATTTTATAACAGTTGGAAATTATGGTACGATTGGGTCCAGAAAAGGTGGGATAGAATAGATATATGATGATGTATATATATGATGGCAAATATGTATGTATAAAGGAATGACTTTATATTTATGGACAATGTAATCACATTATACCATGGTGGCAGGATTGTATATTTTATTGGTGTATTGGTGTATAGAATATATTAATAAAAATTATTTTAAAAAAATGATACAATTAATATTATGGTACCTTCATCTGCATGCTCTTTCTTTTTCAAGACCACAATCAGGTCCTGCAGCTGGAAGTTAGAAGTTCTTCTAACTTCTCGCAAAGCAATTTCTGTGGGATTAAAGCAAAACAACCCTACTGCATTAGCATAATACGGGTACAATGCGAACCAGTAGTAAAGGTAAGTAGAACCCACCCCTATCCAACCCCCCACCCAAGCAGGAGACCCTACACCATTTCTGACCGATGGCAGTCCAGTCGCTTCTTGAAAGCCTCCAGGATGAAGCTCCCACAACTTCCGAAGGCAACTTCTGTTCCAGGGTTGATTGTTCTCACTGTCAGAAAGTTTCTCCTTATTTCCAGGTTGAATCTCTCCTTGATCAGTTTCCATCCATTATTCCTTGTCTGGCCTTCAGGTGCTTTGGAGAATAGCTTGACCCGCACAATCCAAAATCTTCTTTATGATTGCTTCCTCTGATGGGGTATTTTTATCTTTCCAGAATTGAGTGTATGTTAATATGTGCGGAAGCAGATAAATTGACTTAAAAACTGAAAGATAAGAGACCAAACACAAACATAAGTTTATCTTGGGAAAAACTATATATTTGGCTATCAAAGAGAAAACTATAATCCCAAACTAGATTAGGAGTCATATTTATGGAAGAATTTATATTATATAAGTAAAGTGAGGTCGGATAGACCTAACTGATTTATAAATGTAAATTAAATTGTTCTGCCTCCCCCGGAATGTAACGTAGATAGTGTCAACTTGCAAAGCTTTCAAGTTGGCATGAATTAATTAGGGCATCTTTCGGAAACTTGACAGATATATTGTACCGAATATTAAGTTATTAAGGTACTACTTATAGGCATGTATGTTATTTGTTTTGTTGTTTTGTTTGTCATTTATCTGGTGTTTTTTTTTTTTTAATTTGATTTATATGCCGCCCTTCTCCGGAGACTCAGGGCGGCTTACAGTGCGTTAAGCAATAGCCTTCATACTTTTGTATATTTATACAAAATCAGCTTATTGCCCCCACAAACTGGGTCCTCATTTTACCTACCTTAGAAAGGATGGAAGGCTGAGTCAACCTTGAGCCTGGCAAGATTCGATCTTACTTTAATTGCAGGCAGCTGGTGTTAAATTACAGTGCCTCTGTCTGTTGAGCTAAACCAGGCTCCTTGTTGTCTTCTTTTTTAATGACAAATGTAAATAAAGATTATTTTTAAAAAAAGAGAGAGAATAGCTTGACCCCCTTCCTCTCCCCTCAAATATTGGACGACTGCTCTCCTGTCTGCCCTGGTCCTTCTCTTCACTAGACCAGCCATGCCCAGTTCCTGCAACCGTTCATCTTATGTTTTTGCCTCCAAGTCCCCTCATCATCTTGGTTGCTCTTCTCTGCACTCTTTACAGAGTCAGTCTCTTGCCCCCAACAATCTGGGTCCTCATTTGACTGACCTCGGAAGGACGGAAGGCTGAGTCAACCTTGAGCCGGTCGGGATCAAACTCCTGGCAGTGGGCAGAGTTAGTCTGCAAGACTGCATTCTAAGCACTGCGCCACCAAAGGCTCTACAACTAAGGAGAAATGTCCCATCAGTGAGAACAATTAATCAGTGGAATGACTTGCCTCCAGAAGTTGTGGATGCTCCAACACTGGAAGTTTTTAAGAAGTGGGACACTGCTCATGTCATAAATATGAGTCAGTTGTCAAGAGTCTGAATTTTGATCCTGTGACCATGGAAGTGCTTTTGTAATGTGAAAAACGGTCATAAGTCACTTTTTTCATTGCCGTCGTAACTTCAAACGGTTCAGCAAATGAATTGTTGTAAATTGTGGACGTCTTGTATTCTTACAGCCATGGAACTCAGAAAGCTGACATTATTTCTGCATGATGCCAGGATGGGAAGTTCCTGAGCGAGAGAATTGCAGGATTATCAGCTTATTCAAGTTATATCTGGGACAATGGGAACGACCTGCGCAGGGGTTAAACGTAATTTTGCAAAACTGGGGCCGTAGGACAATGATGGATGTGATATGAATAAAATATTGACTGTGGTTTCTATAAATAAGGTGAACAGGTCCAAGAGAAGAAAGAAAATATTATCCAGAACCGAGTATAAAGCTCAAAAACTCAAGGAAGGAAGGAAGGAAGGAAGGAAGGAAGGCAGGAAGGAAGGAAGGAAGGAAGGAAGGAAGGAAGGAAGGAAGGAAGGAAGGAAGGAAGGGACATAATAGGAAGGAAGGAAGAAAAAGAAAATAAGAAAGAAAGAAAGAGAGAGAGAGAGACATAATAGGAAGGAAGGAAGAAAAGAAGAAAGAAAGAAAGAAAGAAAGAAAGAAAGAAAGAAAGAAGAGACATAATAGGAAGAAAGGAGGGAGGGAAGGAAGGAAGGAAGAAAGAAAGAAAGAGACATAATAGGAAGGAAGAAAGAAAGAAAGAAAGAAAGAAAGAAAGAAAGAAAGAAAGAAAAGAAAGAAAGAAAGAGACATAATAGGAAGAAAGGAGGGAGGGAAGGAAGGAAGAAGAAAGAAAGAAAGAGACATAATAGGAAGGAAGGAAGAAAAAGAAAGAAAGAGAAAGGAAGAGACATAATAGGAAGAAAGGAGGGAGGGAGGGAAGGAAGGAAGGAAAGAAGAAAGAGACATAATAGGAAAGAAGGAAGAAAAAGAGAAAGAGAGAGAGAGACATAATAGGAAGGAAGGAAGGAAAGAAGAAAAGAAAGAAAGAGAGAGAGAGACATAATAGGAAGGAAGGAGGGAAGGAAGGAAGGAAGGAAGAAAAAGAAAGAAAGAAAGAAAAAAGTGTCTTTTTGGAATTCCTAACAAAATTGGAAAATACGCCAAACCATAAAGGGTACCAAACATCCGTCTCCCAACAGAACCTCCATCTCTGAAATAAATGAGTCCATCTACTTTGATGCTGTTCTCCTTTTCTTCTCTTTCTTTCCCCTTTTCCACAGCATTATACAATTCTCCAGGGAGTCTTTGCGTTGATTGATTAAGTGCCATCAACTTGATGTCATCTCTTAGCAACCCCATAGATAGATCTTCTCCAGGATGATCTATTCCCTATTCGGCCTTTCAAGACCACCCATAGCTACACAACTGTGAGTCCATCCATCTTACTGCTGGTCGGCCGTCTTCTTCTTCTTCTCTTTCCTTACACCTTCCCAGCATCGGAGCCTTCTTCAGAGGGCTGGGTCTTCGCATCATGTAGACCAAGTAGGATCGTTCAGAGACAGTTTGGTGTAGTGGTGAAAGTACTGGCCCAGAAACCAGGAGATGGTGAATTCTAGTCCTGCCTTAGCCATGAAAGTTGACTGGGTGACTTTCGGCCAATCGCCAGGAGACGGTGAGTTCTAGTCCTGCCTTGGCCTGAAGAACAGCTGGGTAACTTCGGGCCAATCGCCAGGAGACAGTGAGTTCTAGTCCTGCCTTAGCCATGAAAGTTGACTGGGTGACTTTTGGCCAATCGCCAGGAGACGGTGAGTTCTAGTCCTGCCTAGCCATGAAAGTTGACTGGGTGACTTTCGGCCAATCGCCAGGAGACGGTGAGTTCTAGTCCTGCCTTAGCCATGAAAGTTGACTGGGTGACTTTTGGCTAATTGCCAGGAGACGGTGAGTTCTAGTCCTGCCTTAGCCATGAAAGTTGACTGGGTGACTTTTGGCCAATCGCCAGGAGACGGTGAGTTCTAGTCCTGCCTTAGCCATGAAAGTTGACTGGGTGACTTTTGGCCAATCGCCAGGAGACGGTGAGTTCTAGTCCTGCCTTAGCCATGAAAGCTGACTGGGTGACTTTCGGCCAATCGCCAGGAGACGGTGAGTTCTAGTCCTGCCTTAGCCATGAAAGCTGACTGGGTGACTTTCGGCCAATCGCCAGGAGACGGTGAGTTCTAGTCCTGCCTTAGCCATGAAAGCTGACTGGGTGACTTTCGGCCAATCACCAGGAGACGGTGAGTTCTAGTCCTGCCTTAGGCCTGAAGAACAGCTGGGTGACTTTGGGCCAATCGCCAGGGGACGGTGAGTTCTAGTCCTGCCTCAGGCCTGAAGAACAGCTGGGTGCCTTTCACGGCTAGGTCACTTCCTTCAGTGCCGTTGTAGCTTTGAACGGTGACTAAGCGAACTGTTGTAAGTCAAGGAGTGCCTTTTAATCAGCATTAATATATCTCAGAACAGGGAAGCATCTGCCGAGACCAGATCTGAGGGAAGAGAGACTTTAAAGCAGCTTTAAAATGTGTGGACCACAATTCCCAAAATTCCCCAGCCAGCATGCTCCCAGGGAATTCTGGGAATTGAACGCATCTCAAAAGTCGCTGAGATTCGAGAAACGCTGCTTGAAGGAGATAAGACAACCAGAAAAGGTGCTTTTTTCAAGAGGCACCTGGACTTTCTTGTTGTTCTCTGAAGACGTTTCGCTTCTCTCATCCAAGAAGCTTCCTCAGTTGCCTCAGGGACAACCATGACCTGAATGCCTCTCCATAGACCAGAGGTCTTCAAACTTGGCAGCTTTAAGACTTGCGGACTTCAACTCCCAGAATTCTCCAGCCAGCTATGCTCCCTGGAGAATTCTGGGAGTTGAAGTCCGCAAGTCTTAAAGTTGTCAAGTTTGAAGACCTCTGCCATAGACAGTCAGAAACATTATAGAAAGTCTCTACTGCCCTCTTGTGGAAAAATGAGGTATATATAAATAAATCGAATAAAAATATATTTTGCCCACACAGGTGATGAATAACAGAGCTGGAAGGGACCTTGGAGGTCATCTAGTCCAACCCCCTGCTCACGCAGGAGACCTACCCTAGGGATTCGAACCACCGACCTTTCTGATCGACAAGCTCGGCGCCTTAGCCGCTGAGCCACTTAGGGAGCCGCCATAAAAAGGTTGCATTATTCCAGTGGTGAAATTCAATTTTTTTACTGCCGGCTCTGTGGGCGTGGCTTGGTGGGTGTGGTGTGGCTTGGTGGGTGTGGCAAGGGAAGGATACTGCAAAATCCCCATTTCCATCCCACTCCAGGGGGAAGGATACTGCAAAATCTCCATTCCCACCCCACTCCAAGGGAAGGATACTGCAAAATCCCCATTCTCTCCCCACTCCAGGGGAAAGATACTGCAAAATCCCCATTCCCACCTCACTCCGAGGGAAGGATACTGCAAAATCCCCATTCTCTCCCCACTATTCTATTCCATTCCATTCCATTCCATTCCATTATTCTCTATTCTGTTCTGTTCTGTTCTATTCTATTTTTTTTTTTGAAAAAAGTTTTTATTTTTTTAAACAAAACATAAAAACATTCCAATTACAAGTAGTGTGTCGGTCAGTTACAAATCTTTTGTGCTTCATCTCATATTCATCATTACAAATTCTCTAATTTCTCATATTGTCAATCTAACATATATCTTTATATTATTATTCTCATTCATCATTCATTTAACAATGGCATTTTCATCCCATTAAAATCATTTCCATAAATTGTATTGTAACATCTATTTCATATTTCATATTTCATAGCCATGTTTTATTATCTAGCCATTGATAAAATAAATCCCATATCTTATAGTATTGTTCCTGTTCTCTAATTTCAAATGTCAATTTACTCATTTCAGCACGTTCCATAATTTTCCTAATAACTTTCATCTTGTTTGGGTATTTCCTCATTTTTTCCAATTTTTAGCAAACACAATTCTAGCCACTGTCAATACATTCACAATCAGGTAACTCAATTCTCTGTTATATGTTTCTGGTAAGATCCCTAATAAAAAAAATCTTGGATTTGAAATCAATGTGCTTTTTAATCATTTTTTTCCAACCATGTGTGGATTTTAGTCCAATTTCTATTCTATTCTATTCTATTCCATTCCATTCCATTCCATTATTCTGTTCTGTTCCATTCCATTCCATTTATTCCATTCCACATATTCTATTCTATTCTATTCTATTCTATTCTATTCTATTCTATTTTATTTCTATTCTTTCAGTCTTCCATTCTATTCTATTCTATTCTATTCTATTCTATCCTATCCTATCCCTATTTCTATTCTATCCAATCCAATCTATTCTATTCTATTCTATTCTATTCTATTCTATTCTATTCTATCCTATTCCTATTTCTGTTTCTATCCTATCCAATTTATTCTATTCTATTCTATTCTATTCTATTCCATTCCATTCCATTCCATTATTCTGTTCTGTTCTGTTCTGTTCCGTTCCATTCCACCTATTCTATTCTATTCTATTCTATTCTATTCTATTCTATTCTATTCTATTCTATTCTATTCTATTCTATTCCATTCCATTCCATTCCGTTCCGTTCCATTCCATTATTCTGTTCTGTTCTGTTCCACCTCTACTCTAATTCTATTCTATTCTAATTTTTGAGTTGCATTTAGTCGCTCCACTCAACCTAGCACCACAATCTTCTACGTTTTGTTCAGTTTACCACCAAATGTTGATATTCCGAATTTGTTTTCTCCACAGGGGGGAAAGACAGAAAACCTTTGTGTGGATCCCAACACAACCTTTGTGTACCTCCCATCACGCAAACAGAGAAACAAAGGATTCCAGAGCTGCTGGCTGCACAGTAGATCATTTGCAAACCCTCCTGATTCTTTGCAAGTTTAAAACAACTCCCTTAAAAATGATCCAGGATTGGCTTTAGTCCATTGTTTTTTTAAAAAAAAACGAAAACAGCATATATAAATGGTTAGCCTGATAGCAGGACTTTTAAAGCTGTGAGAAACCTGTTCAGTTTTTGTGTAAGAATCTCAGCTGGGGAATTCTGGGAGTTAAAGTCCATTGCTCTACATAATGATTAATATCGCAGTATAATTCTTATTATAGGTAGTCCTTGGCTTATGTTCTGCCCCAGCCACGGACCCCAAAGAACGCAGCACACACAAAGTCTGCACAGACCTTAGTTTACTAATTTTTTTATTTTTATTAGATTTATACACTGCCCTACTCCCGAAGAACTCAGGGCGGTGAACAGGCACAAAAATAAAATATATAAATACAAAAATTTAAAAGCAAAAATAAAACCAGATTAAATAATTTAGCCGGAGACAAATTTTAAAAATCTCAATAATTTAAAAACGTATTTAAAATTTTCAAATTTAAAAGAAAAGGGGGAAAAGGTTAGGCCAGGCCAGCTTGCTGGAATAGGAAGGTCTTAAGAGCGCGGCGGAAAGTGCGCAGATCAAGGATCCTCTGTATCTCCGGGGGGGGAGTTCGTTCCAGATAGTGGGTGCCTCCACAGAGAAGGCCCTCCCCCTGGGGGCCGCCAGTCGACATTGTTTGGCCGATGGCACCCTGAGGAGCCCCTCTCTATGAGAGCATACCGGGCGGTGAGAGGCTATTTGTGGTAGTAGGCGGTCCCATAATTAAATCAGTCTTTTTCAAATAAAGGCTGCTAATTAACTTTCTTAACAGCCTACAAGAATCCAAAGAATAAACAATCGTAATCTTACTAGGTTGGCAGAAAGCCCAGAAGCAATTTGCAAAGAACTAAGATCAAGACGCGAAGGAGAGTAAATGAAGTTGTTCCCTGCAAATTGCCTCAGTTGTCGTTCTTCCTTAAATAGGTTAGGGGAGTGGCCAGTTAGCCCCAAGCCTTACTCTCGAGGAGACCTCCTCCTGAGGAACCACTCCTGCCTTTTGGCAGCTCTGCGCACCCGTGCATCGAGAAGAGGCTCATCTTCTTCTTCCTCTTCACCCATGGAAGCTTCTGGAGGTTCTGAAGGCCCTGACTGAATCCCCGCCTCTGGCACATCTTTTCCAGCCTCCTCATTGTCCGACTCGAGCGCCAGCTGCACAGGCTGCTGGCGCAGCACCACACCAGCCTCCTCGCTGTCGGAATCAGCTCCTAGCTGCACAGGCTGCGTATAGGCCACAACAGCTTATAACCTCAATTGGGGCCCAATATTTCTGTTGCTAAGCGAGACAGTTGTTAAGTGACTGTTGCCACATTTTACGACCTTCCTTGCCACAGTTGTTAAGTGAATCACTGCAGTTGTTAAGTTAGTAACACAGTTGTAATGTGAATTTACCTTCCCCATTGACTTTGCTAATCAGATGGTCATAAAAGAGGAACAAATGGCCCCAGGACACTGCAGCCGTCATAAATACGAGTCCATTTCGAAGCGTCTCAATTTTGATCACCTGCAATAGGATTCTGGAACGGTCATAAATGTGAAAAACGGTCATAAGTCACTTTTTTTCAGCGCCGTTACAACTTCAAATGGCCAGTAAACAAACTACTGTAAGTCAAGAACTCTCTGCATTGCTATTCTAGTATTTAAGTATAGCTGCACAGATCCCATTGTTAGTTTAAAGTTGTCTAATAAAAATATGATTATTCAAATCTATGCAAAATAAGTTTCTTAAAATAAGGTTTAATTCTTCCTGAGTTCCTATGTTCCTCTTTAGCAATTCTCGGCTGGGTTGAATGTTTGATTTTTGCTCTGTCATTTTTTTTTTACTGCTATTTATAGTTTTTTCAGTACACTTTTAAAATCATTTTTTAATATTATTAGGCCCGCAGAGCCGTGCATTTAGGATAAGCAGCTGTATAATTCAAATAAATAAATATTGGAAAGTGCAATGGGCATTTAAAAAACAAAAAACAAAATAAACATTGAATGTTTGCCAAGAAAATCTACACAAGAAAAAAGCCAATGGTTGAATGATTGAATTAATATATGAGAAAAATGATTGAATTAATATATGAGAAAGGTTTTGAAATCTGAGCTTAATATTAAATACTAGGATCCCTTCTTTGTTGTTATTTTAAAATGTTAAAAGAGAGAAAAAGGGGGAAAAGGGGAAAAAATCTTGCTTCGAAAACGTTAGTAAATATTTAATTTATAATCTTCTCCTTTTTAAATACTCTGACCGAGTTACAGCTTTTAAAAACATTTAAACCAATATTTAGATATTCAGACTGTCGAAGAAGAAGGCACAACATGGAGTAATTTGACGTTCGTGTGACTTCAGGACAGAAAAAATTATTAAGTGTGAATTCAAGCTCATTAAAAGCTGGAAAGCAGATTGGTTGGAAAATCTGGAGGTCATCCTTTCATTTTAAAAACTAGGAAATAAAAGAGCAACAATGGAACAGAACACAGCACTGAAGTGGAAAGATATTATTTCTTTCAGGGATCGAAGTTGCCCCTAAAAAAATCCCCCATTTCTCAAGCAAGCAAAATCATGCCTAGATACATTCAATGTATTATACTAGCCTGAAGTGGCCTATTTACATTAGCCTGGGTTTGTACATATTGCAGTATTAATACGAGTAGAATAGAATAGAATAGAATAGAATAGAATAGAATAGAATAGAATAGAATAGAATAGAATAGAAATAAGAATTAGAATTAGAATAAAATAGGAATAGGAATTAGAATAGAATAGAATAGAATGGAATAATAATTAGAATAGAATAAAATAATGATTAATAGAATAGAATAATTAGAATAGAATAGAAGGGAAGAGAAGGTAATGGAATGGAATGGAATGGAATGGAATGGAATGGAATAGAATAGAATAGAATAGAATAGAATAGAATAGAATAGAATAGAATAGAATAGAATAGAATAGAATAATAATTAGAATAGAATAAAATAAAATAATGATTAATAGAATAGAGTAATTAGAATAGAATAGAAGGGAAGGGAAGGGAATAGAATAGAATAGGAATTAATAGGATAGAATAGAATAGAATGGAATAATAATTAGATTAGAATAAAATAATGATTAATAGAATAGATTAGAATAGAATAGAAGGGAAGGGAATAGAATAGAATGGAATGGAATAATAATTAGAATAGAATAAAATAATGATTAATAGAATAGAATAATTAGAATAGAATAGAAGGGAAGGGAAGGGAAGGGAAGGGAATAGAATGGAATGGAATAATAATTAGAATAGAATAAAATAATGATTAATAGAATAGAATAATTAGAATAGAATAGAAGGGAAGGGAAGGGAAGGGAATAGAATGGAATGGAATAATAATTAGAATAGAATAAAATAATGATTAATAGAATAGAATAATTAGAATAGAATAGAAGGGAAGGGAAGGGAAGGGAAGGGAATAGAATAGAATGGAATAATAATTAGAATAGAATAAAACAATGATTAATAGAATAGAGTAATTAGAATAGAATAGAATAGGAATAGAAAAGAATAGAATAGAATAGAATGGAATAATAATTAGAATAGAATAAAACAATGATTAATAGAATAATTAGAATAGAATAAAAGGGAAGGGAATAGAATAGAATAGGAATAGAAATTAATAGAATAGAATAGAATGGAATGGAATAATAATTAGATTAGAATAAAACAATGATTAATAGAATAGAATAATTAGAATAGAATAGAATAGAAGGGAAGGGAAGGGAATAGAATAGGAATAAGAATGAATGGAATGGAATGGAATAACTTTATTGGGACTTTGAAGGTCCCCTGATCGGCAGACCTGATTCAAATGACATTTGGGGGCCTCCAGCAGCTCTCAGAAGGGTCCCCCCCTCCTCCCCCCTGTCCGCGAACACGACAGAAGAACCACATCCACAAACCCCCGAAGTCTCCCCCCCCCCCTTCTCTTTCTTCTAAACCGCCCCGGGAAACCCCCCCCCCACCCCTCCCCACCCGGAGGGGGCGAGAGAACAAAACGGGCTCTTGGGCTCAAAGGAACGCCTGAACCTGAACCCCCCCCAGCCCCCACTTTCCTCCTCCACGGCCCCCCCTCCGCCTCCCCCCCCCAAGAGTGGGAATGATTAATGATTAATCCAAGCAATGCCAGATTAAAGAGAAGAAGAGCCCAGGCATTGCAATTCTGCACTCTTTCTTTTTTTTTTTTCCTCTTTCTTTCTTTCTTTTTTTTTTTTTGCAAAGAGACGTTTTTGCAAAACTCCGCTTTGCAAAAGGGGCAAAGCGTGTCCCGTCCCGTGTCCCCTTCCCCCGCGTGTTTCGGGCCGGTTCGGAGCTGGTTCGGCTGCCCGGAGAGAGCCAAAAGCAGGTAACGCCGCCGCTTTGCAAACAGATTGGCAGCTGGGGGTCTCGGGGGGTGGGGGAAATGGCTTTAACCAGATCTCTCTCTCTCGATCTCTCTCCCGATCTGGGATCCACCAGCCGGGAAGGATCAGGATCCGGATCCGGATCCAAAAGCCAGGCCGGCTTGCACCAATAATTGCAATTCATAATCATAATCGTTGCAATTCATAATCATAATCGTTGCAATTCATAATCATAAGCATTGCAATCAATAATAATAGTTGCAATTCATAATAGTTGCAATTAATAATTGCAATTAATAATAATAGTTGCAATTAATAATAGTTGCAATTAATAATAGTTGCAATTAATAATAATAGTTGCAATTAATAATAGTAGTTGCAATCCATAATAATAATCGTTGCAATTCATAATCATAATAGTTGCAATTCATAATAATAATCATTGCAATTCATAATCATAATAGTTGCAATTAATAATAGTTGCAATTAATAATAATGGCAATTAATAATAATAGTTGCAATTCATAATAGTTGCAATTCATAATAGTTGCAATTAATAATAATGGCAATTAATAATAATAGTTGCAATTAATAATAGTAGTTGCAATTAGTAATAATAATCGTTGCAATTAATAATCATTGCAAACCTTTTGCAAAGAAAAAAAAGAGAGCCGAGGCTTGGGGGAAAGAAGCGACGTGGCCGGTGCGGGAACGCGGGACCCCCCCCTCCCCCCTGTTCCGCGGGGATCCAGCGGCCGTTAGATCGCCCGGTCGAACGAAGCCAGCAACGGCCCGGAGGCGGAGGCTTTCCGAGCCGCCCGCCCGCCACGAAGAAGCCGGCAGGAAGAACGGATCGTCCCCCGGGAAGGTGGTGTTTTTTTTCTTTTTTTTTTTTTGCAGGAAGCTTTTGCAGAGCTGAGCCTCTCCTCGTGGCCTCCTTTCCTTTTTTTATTTGGGAGGGGGGGGTGAAAGGAGGAGAAAGTTGAGGCTCCTCCCACTCTAACAGGGTGGGATTTGAACTCAGACCCCCCATGACCAGCAGGGAAGTAGTAGCCGGAAGCAGAGGGGATTGAGACATCCCCATCCACCCACCCACCCCCACAGCAAGGATAAAGGTAGTCCTCGATTTATGACCATAATGGAGCCCCCCACATTTTTTTTGTCGCTAAGTGAGACAGCTGTTCCGGGAAGTCTTGCCCCGTTTTACGACCTTTCTTGCCTCCCAAGTTGTTAAGCGAATCGGTGCCATCGATAAACGAGCAATTGGGTCGGTTAAGCAAATCTGGTTCCCCGCGGACTTTGCCGAAGGGGAAGCCAGAGGGGATTCGATCGCGTGACCTCCTGGGACACTGCGACGGTCATAAGTATGAACCAGTTGCTGTGCGTCTGAATTTTGATCTCACAGGGGTGGCTGGAAAGGTTATAACTGAAACGTGTCCGTAAATCACTGCTGTTGTCGCTTTGGATGGTCACTAAACGGACGGTTGCAAGTCGACCGTTTACACCGATGAGCCCCATCGAGCCCCGATTTTTTGTTGCTAAGGGCGATAGCTGCTGAGTGAAGTTTTGCCCCGTTTTACGACCTTTCTGGCCACGAGTCGTTAAGCGAATTACTGCAGCGGTTAAGTTAATTATATGGACGTTAAGTGAATCTGGCAAGGGGTGCCAATAGAGGTCATTTTTTGGACTTCTGGCCACCGTTGAGCCATCTTTTTTTGTTGCTAAGCAAGACGGTGGAGTTTTGCCCCGTTTTACGACCTTCCCACAGTTGTTCAGTGAGTCACTGCGCCGGGTGTTAAGATAGTAACACGGTTGTTAAGTGAATCTGGCAAGGGGTGCCAATAGAGGTCATTTTTTTGACTTCTGGCCACCGTTGAGCCAACTTTTTTGTTGTTAAGCAAGACGGTGGAGTTTTGCCCTGTTTTACGACCTTCCCACAGTCGTTCAGTGAATCACTGCGCCGGGTGTTAAGATAGGAACACGGTTGTTAAGTGAATCTGGCAAGGGGTGCCAATAGAGGTCATTTTTTTGACTTCTGGCCACCGTTGAGCCAACTTTTTTTGTTGCTAAGCAAGACGGTGGAGTTTTGCCCTGTTTTATGACCTTCCCACAGTCGTTCAGTGAATCACTGTGCCGGGTGTTAAGATAGTAACACAGTTGTTAAGTGAATCTGGCAAGGGGTGCCAATAGAGGTCATTTTTTGGACTTCTGGCCACTGTTGAGCCAACTTTTTTTGTTGCTAAGCAAGACGGGGGAGTTTTGCCCCGTTTTACGACCTTCCCACAGTCGTTCAGTGAATCACTGCGCCGGGTGTTAAGATAGTAACACGGTTGTTAAGCGAAATCTGGCTTCTCCGTTGATTTTGTTTGTCAGAAGGCCACGCAAAATGTGACTCCCCAGGACACTGCAACTGTCATAAATCTAGTCAGTTGCCATTTCTTTTCCACCTCAAATTGCCTTCATTTGATCAAAATATAAACTACAGAGGAGAATCCAAAGTAATGAAAAACTAAGGGGAAAGAAAAAAAAGGGGGGAAAGAGGAAATGTGGGGTGGAAAGGGAAAAAAAGAATAAAAGATGTTGACTTCCCACTCCGTTTGGCACAGTAAAAGATAATAATAATAACATTAGAACATCAATTTTTTGTATTAAATCTACTCAGTTCTCAAAGCATCTGAATTTTGGTTCGCGACGTGGCCATGGGGATGATGCAAACGGTCGTAAGTTTGAAGAAACGGTCCTAAGTCCCTTTTTTTTAGTGCCGTTGTAACTTGGACCGGTCACTAAACAAAAACGGTTTAGTTAAGCCGAGGATTCTCCATACAGGTAGTCCTCGAGTTACGACCGCAACGGAGCCTGAAATGTATGCTGCTAAGTGAGACATTTCCAAAAGTGAGTTTTGCCCCATTTAATGACCCAGTTGCCAAGTCGTTAATGGAATCACTGCTGCTAAGTTAGCGACACGGTTGTTAAAGTTTGTTAAATTGTAAACGGTTGTTAAATTGTTTGTTATTGTTTTTAATCATGGGGCTAAATTTATAAATATATCTTTTTAATTGTATTTTAATGTTTGTAGTTTATGTTTTTATTTGGCTGTTCACCGCCCTGAGTCCTCGGGAAGAAGGGCGGTATACAAATTTAAAAATAATAGATAGATAGATAGATAGATAGATAGATAGATAGATAGATAGATAGATAGATAGATAGATAGATAGATAGATAGATAGATAGAAAGAAAGAAAGAATCCGGCTTTCCCCTGTCGACTTTTCTTGCCAGAATGCCACAAAAAAGGAGATCTCGTGACCCCGGGACACTGCGACCGTCATAAATATGAACCGAATTTTGATCACGCCACCGCAAACGGTCGTAAGGGTGGGGAAAAAAAAACCCGATACTAAGTCACTTCCCTCCCCCAGTGCCGTTGTAACTCGGAACGGTCCCTAAAACAGACCGTCGTAAATCGAGGACTACTTACAACACGGCTGTTAAGCCAATCCAGTTTCCCCGTTGACTCTGCTTGTCAGAAGATCCGCCAGAGGGGATCGTGTGACCCCCCCAACTCCCCCCCGGAGGAAACGCTGCAACCGTCACTAAACGGAGAGTTGTAAATTCGAGGACTTCCTGTATCAGCATTTTTTTAAAAAAAAATCCTCTTTTTTTTCCCGCAGCCATGAATACCGACGAAGCCTTGATCTCCCTGCTCGTGATGGCGGGCATTATCTTCCTGGTGGGCACGTGCAGGCAGCTGGCCCACCGGGCGCTACTACGGCGGACTCCCAACTGGTACACTTTCACCCAGGAGCTGACCGCCACTTTCCAGATTTGTGCTTGCACCCACGAACTTTGCCTGCTGGGCAGCTTGCTGCCCCGTCCGCAAATCGCCCTTTGGCTCACTTACATTTTCACCGTCCTCCACGGCTGGACATTAACGGGCAGCGTGGGCAACCCGGCGAGCAGCATCCAACAGCTTTACAAAGGCGAGCTGGGGATCCACGGGTGGTGCCTGCAGACTGCAGCGCAGTTCGCGGCGGCCGTCTTGGCTCACCTGTGCATGAAATTCATCTGGATGTTGGGCTTCACTGCCGGTCATTTGAGAGCCCTGCCTGACGTTTGCAGCAACCCCATTCAAACCAGCCTCACCAATGCTTTCGGCCTGGAGTTTCTCTTCTCCTTCCTCCTACACCTGACTTTACTCCAGTTCCAGGGCATGAACCCCACGATGAAAGTACACCTCATCGCTTTGCTCATCACCTCTTTCGTCTACGCAGGTTGGTGGGGTTTATCCCTCGTTTCCTCCTTCGGCTTAAAACTCCGACCGGGTCTTTGTTCTGGAATATAGGTAGTCCTTGATGTATGGCCACAACAGTGGGGAAATCCAAATTTTTTTTTACTACTTGGTTCTGTGGGGGGTGGCTTGGTGGGTGTGGCAAGGGAAGGCGACTGTAAAATCCCCATTCCCTCCCCACTCCTGGGGGAAGGGTATTGCAAAATCTCCATTCCAGGCAGAAGGATATTGCAAAATCCCCATTCCCTCCCCACTCCAGGTGGAAGGATATTGCAAAATCCCCATTCCCTCCCCATTCCAGAGGAAGGATACTGCAAAATCCCCATTCCCTCCCCATTCCAGAGGAAGGATATTGCAAAATCCCCATTCCCTCCCCACTCCAGGCGGAAGGATACTGCAAAATCCCCATTCCCTGCCCACTCTAGGCAGAAGGATATTGCAAAATCCCCATTCCCTCCCCACTCTAGGCAGAAGGATATTGCAAAATCCCCATTCCCTCCCCACTCTAGGCAGAAGGATATTGCAAAATCCCCATTCCCTCCCCACTCTAGGCAGAAGGATATTGCAAAATCCCCATTTCCTCCCCACTCCAGGCGGAAGGATACTGCAAAATCCCCATTCCCTCCCCACTCCAGGTAGACGGATACTGCAAAATCCCCATTCCCACCCCACTCTGGGGCCAGCCAGAGGTGGTATTTGCCGGTTCTCCGAACTACTCAACATTTCCGCTACGGGTTCTCCAGAACCTGCTGGATATCACCGCTAGGCCACAATTGAACCCAACTTTTCCGTCGCTAAGGCAGTTGTTAAGTGGATGTTGCTCCAAGGACCGTTCGAATGCAGTCTTGGAAAAAAAGCAAACGCTAGCAATTTACAAAACAGAAAGGGAAATTTGCAGTGAGGCTTAACTTGGAAAGGCAGTCCTCGTTTAGTGACTGCCTCGTTTATTGAGCCTTTGCAGTTACCACAGGGATGAAAAAGTATAGAATAGAAGAACAGGGTTAGAAGGGATTTTGGAGGTCTTCTAGTCCAACCCCCTGCTTAGGCAGGAAACCCTTCCATATCTTCTTTGAAAACTTCCAGTGTTGGAGCAATCACAACTTCTGGAGGCAAGTAGTTCCACTGATTAATTGTTCTCCCTATCAAGAAATTTCTCCTTAGTTCTAGGTTGCTTCGCTCCTTGATTAGTTTCATCCGTTCCTTCTTGTTCTGCCCTTGCAGTCCCTTTTCCTTCCTTCCTCCTTCCTTCCTTGTCTCTTTCCCTTCCTTCCCTCCTTCCCTCCCTCCCTCCTTCCTTCCTTCCATTCTCTTTCTTTCCCTTCCTTCCCTCCCTCCCTCCTTCCTTCCTACCTTGTAGTCTCTTTCCCTTCCTTCCTTCCCTCCCTCCCTCCTTCCTTCCTTCCTTCCAGTCTCTTTCTTTCCCTTCCTTCCCTTCCTTCCTTCCTTCCTTCCCTCCTTCCTTGTAGTCTTTCCCTTCCTTCCCTCTCTCCCTACTTCCTTCCTTGTCTCTTTCCCTTCCTTCCCTCCTCCCTCCCTCCTTCCCTCCCTCCCTCCTTCCTTCCTTCCTTTTCCTTGTAGTCTCTTTCCCTCCTTCCCTCCCTCCCTCCTTCTTTCCTTCCTTCTTTGTAGTCTCTTTCCCTTCCTTCCCTCCTTCCTTCCCTCCTTCCTTCCTTCCTTGTAGTCTCTTTCCCTTCCTTCCCTCCTTCCTTCCTTCCTTCCTTGTAGTCTCTTTCCCTTCCTTCCCTCCTTCCTTCCTTCCTTCCTTCCTTTTTTTTTTCTGTTTTTGATTTGATTTATATGCCACCCTTCTCCGGAGACTCAGGGCAGCTTACAATGCATCTTCCTTCCTTCCTTGTAGTCTCTTTTCCTTCCTTCCTTCCCTTCCTTCCTTCCTTCCTTCCCTCCTTCCTTGTAGTCTTTCCCTTCCTTCCCTCCCTCCCTACTTCCTTCCTTGTAGTCTCTTTCCCTCCTTCCCTCCTTCCCTCCTTCCTTCCTTCCTTCCTTTTTTTTTTTGATTTGATTTATATGCCGCCCTTCTCCGGAGACTCAGGGCGTTTTACAATGCGTTAAGCCGCCCTTACAATGCGTCTTCCTTCCTTCCTTGTAGTCTCTTTTCCTTCCTTCCTTCCCTTCCTTCCTTCCTTTGAATAGACTAGAACAGAGTTGGAAGGGACCTTGGAGGTCTTCTAGTCCAACCCCCTACCCAGGCAGGAAACCCTCCACCACTTCAGACAAATGGGTGTCCAACATCTTCTTAAAAACTCCCCATGTTGCTTCCCGCATTTACTACAACTCCTGGATGCACGTTGTTCCTTGTAAGTTGACAACTCAACGTTTGCAACCTTGGCGGGCCTGCAAAGAGAAGGAAAGCTGGGGTAAGCTTGCGAGCGCAGTCACGGTTTTACTTAGCCATCGCTTTGCTTGAATGGCCGAGAGATTTCTTATCTCGCCTGGATCTACAGGGGGGGTCAGACTAGATGACCTACAAGATCCCTTCCAACTCTGTTACTCTCTAAGAGATCTAGGCATATGAATACACCCTCAAGAAAGAGCTTCTCGTAAGAAGAGGGCATCGTATTCTCGCAAACCCTGCCTTTTTGCCGAGTTGCGTTGTCTCTTCCGCAAGATTCTTTCTGCCAGCCACTTCTGCTGAATCACAATTTTGCAGCTCATCTCGTTGTGCATTTTTACTGCTCCGTTGCAGCATAACTGGGCTGGCTCAAAAGCCTTTGTTTATTTATTTATTTTATTTTATTGAATTTCTATACCGCCCTACTCCCGAAGGACTCAGGGCGGTGAACAGCCACGAAATAAAACACATACATATAAAAATTTAAAATCGAATAAAATGAATTAAATAAATTTGGCTGAATTAATACCCATGATTTAAAATACCCATATTTTGAAACACTTTAAAATTTAAAATTTGCACTTAAAAGGGAGAAGATTTAGGCTTTGGAATAATCTCCCGTGTTAAATCGATGGAAAGGGAGAGGAAGAAAAAAAAAAAAACCCGCTTCTGATTCTAATGTAAAGCAAAGTTTAGAAGTTGTTGAGAACTTTTACGTGGCTGAATTGTGATTTTCTTACCCTATTCAGGGTTTCGATTAAAAGCAGGGTGGATAAAAAAATCAATGTTTTTTTAAAAAAAATCAAAAAAATCAGATTTTTTTGATTTAAATCGGATTTTTTTTTATTTAAATCGGATTTTTTTGATTTTTATCGAATTTATTTTAATAAAAAACTTTGGGGGTAAAAATCTATCGTAAGATAGTTTTCTATTTAAGATACATAAATAATTTAGTTTATTCAGCATGAAGTGGAGCTTAGTTATGTAGCAGGAGGCTGTATATTCTGCAACACTGGGACTATCGGTGAGTCAACAGTGGGTCAAAGGAGTAGCAGAGATGACAGTTGCTCTTTAGAAATTATGATTTAAATCGAGTCGATTTAAATCAAGTCTTTTTACTAGTGATTTAAATCATGATTTATATCATGATTTAAATCGACTCGATTTAAATCAAATCCACCCTGATTAAAAGAGAATATTTGTAGCTTGGAGTTGAAATGAGGAGGGCTCCTTGGTGCTCTGTGAGCTTGGTAGTTTTCTTGCAGACGTTTAATTACCCAACTAGGTGACATTATCAGTGCCAGAAGGGAGTGGATCCTTTTTACCACTGATGAGGTTCCCTGGTTTTGTAATGAAACGACTGCAAGAAAACCACCAGGCTCGGAGAGCACCAAGGACCCTACTACAGCCCTTTTCCTCTTCCTGTTCCTCCTCTTCCACTCTGCAAACCCCACTCCCTTCTAACACTGATGATGTAACCTAGTCAGGTCATGAAACGTTTGCAAGAAAACAAGCAAGCTCAGAGAGCCCCAAGGAAACCACAGTCCTCCTCCTCACCGCAACCCCGACTCCGCTAATGCGCTAGTCAGAAAAAGAAACTCCTGAGATTTTTTTCCCCCCTCCAACTTCCTCAACTTGCAACAGTTCATTTAGTGACCATTCAAAGCTGCAACCGCACCTAAAGCGCTGTTAAGTAGCACTTAGTTGCCAGCTGCCTGCAATTAGTGTGAGTTCGAATCTCACCAGGCTCAAGGTTGACTCAGCCTTCCATCCTTTCGAGGTAGGTAAAATGAGGACCCGGATTGTGGGGGCAATAAGCTGACTTTCTATAAAAAAGAACACCGCTTGGGGGGGGGAGCGAAAGCCCTACTAAGCAGGTATATACAAAAGTACGAAGGCTATTGCTTAACACATTGTAAGCTGCCCTGAGTCTCCGGAGACGGGCGGCATATAAATCGAACCAATAAATAAATAAATAAATAAGTAAGTAAGTAAGTAAGTAAGTAAGTAAGTAAGTAAGTAAGTAAGTAAGTAAGTGACTCATGACCGCTTTTCAGAGTTACAACCTTTTGCAGCATCCCCGAGATCAAAATTCCGATGCTTGGCAACGGGCTCGCACTTACGTCCGTTGCTGGGTCTCAAGATCACACGATTCCCCCTTCGGCGACCTTCTGACAAGCAAAGTCAAGGGGGGAAGCCGGATTCACTTAACAACCGTGTTCCTAACTTTTAACCGCCGCAGTCTTTTACCTCACAAATGTTGTAAAAATGGGGCCCAAACTCACTCGGCAAATGTCTCGCTTAGCAAAATTAGAAATTTTGGCCTCAATTGTGGCCGTACTTCCAGGGCTACCTAGACTTTGCTGAAAAGCCATGCGGGTACAGAAGCAGAAAAGGCGGTTCTAACATTTCGGGCGCAAAAAAAGGGTAAGATAAATTCCCTCCTTTTTCCCCCCCCTCCCGGTTCTCCAATGGTCCTTTGTCCACCAATCGGTTCCACCTTAATTGTTTTGAGAACGATCTGTTTGCCTCGGATATTCTCAGAGTTGGTGACCTTGGGACCACAGTTTTCCCCTCTTAAACCACCCTCACATCCTAAGGCCTTCTCTCTCACCCCACCTCCCCTTATTGTTGTCTGGTGGCGAGCAGGCTGGATAGCGCGTCAGCTATGACGCCTTCCCTCGCCAGACTATCCAAAGGATGCCTGAAAAGATCTGAAGAACCTCCAGCCTCCGATGGCTGTGTGGCCATCGTTGATCATTAACCTTCCTCTGAAGAATTTGGCAAACCCCAGAATGCAAACATTGTGGCATTCAAAGAGGTGATCTCAGTTAGATCGCTGAACTTTGGAATCTGTTCGATTTGGGACTTGCTCCAAAATCTCCAGCTCCGCACCTCCTGGAATTGGCGGTTAAATCCAAGCACTATGTCCATCAGTGAAAAGATGCCTTCTTGCAGGACTTGGAGATGGACCTTTGGTGTAGCCATGCCTGGTTCAATATTCCCCCCACCACCCCACCCCTTTCTTCTGATGTCCAGTTGAGATGCAGAAATTGAGACCAAGAGATGGTTTGGTCTATGGAGCAGATATGTTTCATGGTCTAGCAATTAAGACATCAGGCTAGAAACCAGGAGATTGGGAATTCTAGTTCCACCTTAGGCATGAAAAGTGGCTGGGTGACTTTATGCCAATCACCAGGAGACGGTGAATTCTAGTCCTACCTTAGGCATGAAAGCCAGCTGGGTGACTTTGGGCCAAGTACCAGGAGACTGTGAGTTCTAGTCCCGCCTTAGACATGAAAGCCAGCTGGGTGACTTTGGGCCAAGTACCAGGAGACTGTGAGTTCTAGTCCCGCCTTAGGCATGAAAGCCAGCTGGGTGACTCTGGGCCAATCACCAGGAGACTGTGAGTTCTAGTCCCGCCTTCGGCATGAAAGCCAGCTGGGTGACTTTGGGCCAAGTACCAGGAAACAGTGAGTTCTAGTCCTGCCTTAGACATGAAAGCCAGCTGGGTGACTTTGGGCCAATCACTAGGAGACGGTGAGTTCTAGTCCTGCCTTAGGCATGAAAGCCAGCAGGGTGACTTTGGGCCAATCACCAGGAGACGGTGAATTCTAGTCCCGCTTTAGGCATAAAAGCCAGCTGGGTGACTTTGGGCCAATCATTAGGAGACTTTGAGTTCTAGTCCCACCTTAGGCATGAAAGCCAGCTGGGTGACTTTCAGCCAGTCTCTCTCTCTCTCTCTCAGCCCAGCTCACTTCACAGGGTTGTTGTTGGGGTGGGGCAGGAAAAATGGGGGAGGAAGGAGTACTATATACATTCGCTACCTTGAGTTACTTAAATGTAGGTGAGAAAAAGGTCTAGTAAATATAGAAATAATGAAACCAAAACATTTGCATTGAGATTCCGAAACTTTTCCACGTTGTGGGATAATGTACGTATATGCATGGGCTCTAAACATGGGAAACAAGAGACCCCTGTGACTTGAGTCTACCACTACTGGGTGGTCCCCTTCTTTGTTATTTTGGATCGTATACAACCGGGTTCCTCAAACTTGGCCACTTGAAGATGTGTGCACTTTGATTCAACTTCTGGTGGCAAGCTGTTCCACTGGTTAATTGTTCTCACTGTTAGGAAATTTCTCCTTAATTCTAGGTTGCTTCTCTCCTTGATTGGTTTCCACCCATTGCTTCTTGTCCTGCCTTCATGGTGCTTTGGAGACGAGCTTGACTCCCTCTTCTTTGGGGCAGCCCCTGAGATATTGGAACTCTGCTATCATGTCTCCCCTAGTCCTTCTTTTCATTAAACTAGACATATCCAGTTCGTGCAACTGTTGTTTATAACTGTTCTTTTAGCCTATAGATTAGCACATCTTTCTTCCTATAAATGCCTAGTGTTTGGGCACAACTCGAGAGTTATCCCTCTCCGATACGAATGTATTATTAATAGTTCTGAATTATCTGATTCTTCTGCCAGCGAGCTGATTTTATTGCCTTTTAAAAGCCGCATGACGTCTTAAAAAAGGAGAAATGTTTTGTGGTCTCTCGTAGGAGGAAACCTCACCGGTGCGGTATTTAATCCAGCCCTGGCTTTCTCTCTGCACGGAAGCTGCTTCGTAGACCAGCTCTGGAATTACCTGGTGGTGTATTGCATCGCGCCATGCGCAGGTGAGCGGTTCTCTATTTTCATTTCTTGGGACAAACAGATAAGGATCCCTAAATTGTAGGAAGCAAAGGTTATAATACAATGGACCAAGCGGGGAACAACTTTTAAGAACGGAATCTTCGAATAAACCTCCGATGCTGGATAAAATAGGATCCCTCATTTGCTTAGGTAAATCTTTCATTGGGCAATTAAAAGGTAAAAAGTTTCCCTTGCACATATGTGCTAGTCGTTCCCGACTCTAGGGGGCGGTGCTCAGCCCTGTTTCAAAGCCGAAGAGCCAGCGCTGTCCGAAGACGTCTCCGTGGTCATGTGGCCGGCATGACTCAACACCAAAGGCGCACAGGACGCTGTTCCCTTCCCGCCAAAGGTGGTCCCTATTTTTCCACTTGCATTTTTTACCTGCTTTCGAACTGCTAGGTTGGCAGAAGCTGAGACAAGTAACGGGAGCTCACCCCATTATACAGCACTAGGGATTCGAACCGCTGAACTGCCGACCTTTCGATCGACAAGCTCAGCGTCTTAGCCACTGAGCCACCGCAATGAAAGAGTTCCAAATTACATTCAGTCCTCGACTTACGACCCCAATGGAGCCGAAAATTTCTGTTGCTAAGCGAGAGTTGCTAGGTGAGATTTGCCCCGTTTTACGACCTTTCTGGCCGCAGTTGTTAAGCAATTAACACAGCCGTTGTTAAGGTAAGTCACAACGGCTGTTAAGTGAATCTGGCTTCCACCATTGACCTTGCTTGTCAAGGTCGCAAAAAGAGATCACGTGAGCCCGAGGCCCTGCAAACTAACATAAGTATCCTCTCTGCGCATGCTCAAGATGGCGGCTTCCTGCTGAGCCGCTACCACCGAGGGGGTGTTGTTTGGACTACGGGGGGTCTTTGGGGGCCAGACGAAACAACTATGGCCCCTACCAGGCTAGCGGAGGCTATTGCCAACCTTTTGAGAGCTTTTTAGCTCTCCGGAGCGCTTCCTGGCCAGAGGGAGTCGGGTGTTGCGGAGGAGGCGTTTGGGGGCGTTGTCGGCCCGGATGGCTGTGGCGGCGGCCTTTGCGATCAGCTGGCAGTCGCCTGAGCAGCGGTGGAGACGGCGGCAGCGCAGCGCTCTCGGCGGACTCCTCGTCGGAGCCTCGTCGGAGTCCTGGGTGCCCAGGAGGTGTTGGCGGGGCTTGGGGAAGACGAGGAGGATGGCGGAGAGGCTGGCAGCTGTTGTGGCGCCAGCCAGGGAGGAGGCTGTGATGGCGGCTGCGGGCTGGCGGTGGAGGCGGCGGCGGCAGCCTGAAGGCTACGAGGAAGATGGCAGGAACTAATTCCGGCGTGATCATCTTGGACTGACCTGGGCGGCTGTGAGGTGTGTGGCCGTTTGTGACCAGCTCACTGACGCCCAGAGGCCCCACAGTGAACTGGTGGAGGCTGAACCGGGTGAGCGTTGTGACCGGGAAAGACCTGGGGGGCGATGTGGAGGACCGGAAGAGGACTATGGGGATGTTTCCCCCCTAAACGCTCTGTATTGCTCCCCCCCTTTTCTGCCGGGTTTCGCCCGTATGATGGTCCCACGCTATCCAGGCCATTTTCAGTCTCAGCTGGATACCACCATCATTTTCCATCTACTTTCCATTGGATCATCTCCTGATATGCCCACTGCACTAACTTTGTAAACCGACTTATACTTCTGGGCCTATGGATTGGCATTGCTCTATCTGTCCTCCCTAACCGAAAGGAGAAGTTTACCTTAGGTATGAGTATTGAGGGAGTCAGCCTCGGCTATTATTTCCATCGTTTCTGGACTATTCTTGGACTCCTCCCACTACCATGAAGGCAGTGGCGTTTTCCAATGTATACTACCTAAGACTTATATACTTTTCCGTTGGACTTTTAAATCATCATGGTTGATCCCCTGGTTATAAGCCATAACTACTCCCAGTAACAAATGTATTCGGTGTCGGAACTCCTCGCCCTGCGAGATTCCCCCCACTCGCAGGTTTGGCCCTCCACATTATCGAGGGCCTATCTCGATGACGGACTTTGGAGTCCAGAGAGATGGCATGGAGCAAGGAAGAATTTGTGGGGTTTTTTAGGGAAATTTTTTAAGATTTTAAGGGGTTCTGGGAGGGGGGTTTGTAATGATCTTTCTAGAGAAATTGGGAAGAAGACTCTGGGGGATGGGGGGGGAAATCCACCAGGGTCAGAGCCGAGCCCGGCACAGGGTAACGATTTGGGAGGTGTTGGTCGAGGGACTGGGAAAGGGATGGGGGACGATACCTATGAGGTTTGTACCATCAGCACGGTAGATGGGAGGGGCAGATATGGCGGGAGCAGGGGACCATATCATGTGTTGGGGGCTCGCACTCGCTGTTTGAGAGCAATTGCTTGCCCCGGTCCCCATGGCTCCTCTTGGAGACTAGGTGGCTTAGATACTCAGGATCTGGGCCTTCGGCTGATGTTATGCAATGCCAGGTCCGTGGTTAATAAGGCCCCCTCATTCACGATCTTATACAGGAGGGAGGAGCGGACCTGGCGGGTATTACGGAGACCTGGTTGGGCCCGGAGGGTGGCGTCCCTCTGGTTGAAATGTGCCCACCAGGCTTCAGAGCATTCCATCAGCCGAGGGCCCAGGGGAGGGGCGGGGGGGTGGCGGTTATTATTAACGAGGATCTGGATCCGAGGGAGACCACTGTGCCTCAGATAGCCGGATGTGAGTCCCTCCTTGTGAGGTGGGGCCGTGGGGTTCAGATGGGCTTGTTGCTTACGTACCTGGCTCCCTGCCGCGTGGCAACAGCCCTTCCTGAGCTACTCGACGTGATAGCCACGGTGGCAGTAGATACACCCAGGCTTTTAGTCATGGGTGATTTCAACTTGCCATCTGTCGGTGAAACGTCTGAGGTGGCTCGGGAGTTCATGGCTTCCATGACGGCCATGGACCTGACCCAGTTAGTTCATGGCCCTACTCACAGGGGAGGTCACACTCTGGATCTGATTTTTGTCTCTGGCCAGTGGTTGAGTGGTCTTGTTATAGGGGATATAGACATGGAACCCTTGTCATGGACTGACCACTCACTCCTTCGCCTAGATCTTCGAACCGCGACCCCTCGCCGCAGGGAGGCGGACCCAATTAGATGGATCCGCCCCAGGCGCCTGATGGATCCTGATAGGTTCCAGACGGAGCTTGGGCCATTTCCTGAGGATCTAGCACATGACTCGGCCGAGGACCTGGTAGCCGCCTGGGATCGGGCGGCTGGTGGGGCCTTGGACCGAGTTGTGCCTTTGCGGCCTCTGACCCGATGCCGATCCCGGGTGGCTCCTTGGTTTACTGAGGAGCTGAGGGAAATGAAGCGCCGGAAAAGACGCCTGGAGAGCGGTTGGAGGGCCAGTCTCGCTGAATCTGATCGAACACTGGTAAGGTCGCATATTAAGGCCTACCTAGTGGCGATAAAGACGGCAAAGTCTAACTACTTTTCCGCCTCTATTGCGTCATCAGGGAATCGTCCGGCCGCCCTGTTTAGGGTGACCCGCGCCCTGCTCCATCTGGGAGTGCGGGAGGATCCCTTAGAAGGCAGGGCGGAGGATTTCGGACAATACCTGTATGACAAAATCGCTCAGATCCGGGGGGATTTGGACTCTAACTGGGTAGATCAGGGCAGGGTGACGAGGAACAGTCTTGAGAATGTTATCTGGGAGGAGTTTGATGCTGTGACTCCCGATGATGTGGACAGGATTTTGGGGAGACTTAGTGCGGCCACATGTTTACTGGACCCGTGTCCCTCCTGGTTGGTACTGGCTTCCCGGGAGGTTACACGAGGCTGGCTCCAGGGCGTTATTAATGCTTCCTTGAGTGAGGGTCACTTCCCCGCTGCCCTGAAAGAGGCGGTGGTGAGGCCTCTCCTCAAGAAGCCGTCCCTGGACCCAGCAATATTGGCTAACTATCGTCCTGTCTCCAACCTTCGCTTCATTGCAAAGGTTGTTGAGAGTGTGGTCGCGCAACAGTTTCCACAATTCCTGGAGGAAACATCCTATCTGGATCCGTTCCAGTCAGGTTTCAGGTCTGGGCACAGCACGGAAACGGCATTGGTCGCGCTGGTTGATGATCTCTGGAGGGCTCGGGACAGGGGTTATTCCTCTGTTCTGGTCCTATTAGATCTCTCAGCGGCTTTTGATACCATCGACCATGGTATCATGCTGCACCGGCTGGAAGAGTTGGGGGTGGGAGGCACCGTGTTACGGTGGTTCTCCTCCTTTCTCTCCGACCGGTCGCAGTTTGTGTTGGCAGGGGGGCAGAGGTCGACCTCGAGGCCTCTCATTTGTGGAGTGCCGCAGGGATCGGTCCTCTCGCCCCTTCTGTTCAACATTTATGTGAAGCCGCTGGGCGAGATCATCCGTGGCTTTGGGGTGAGATACCACCAGTACGCTGATGACACCCAGCTGTACATCTCCACCCCAGGCCACCCCAACGATGCCCTTGAAGTGATGTCCCAGTGCCTGGAGGCTGTGCGGATCTGGATGGGGAGGAACAGGCTCAGGCTCAACCCTTCCAAGACTGAGTGGCTGTGGCTCCCGGCATCCCGATATAGTCAGTTGACTCCATCACTGACTATTGGGGGCGAGTCTTTGGCCCCCACTGAAAGGGCTCGCAATCTGGGAGTCCTCCTGGATAGGCAGCTGTCTTTGGAGGAACATCTGACGGCTGTTACCAGGGGGACCTTTTATCAGGTTCGCCTGATTCGCCAGTTGCGGCCCTTTCTTGATCGGGATTCCCTGTGCACAGTCACTCATGCCCTCGTCACCTCTCGCCTTGACTACTGTAACGCTCTCTACATGGGGCTCCCCTTGAAGAGCACCCGGAGGCTCCAGCTGGTCCAGAATGCAGCAGCGCGGGTAGTGATGGGAGCAACATGGCGCTCCCATGTAACACCACTCCTGCGCGAGCTGCACTGGCTCCCGGTGGTCTTCCGGGTGCGCTTCAAGGTGTTGGTTATCACCTTTAAAGCGCTCCATGGCATAGGGCCTAGCTATCTCCGAGACCGCCTGCTGCTACCGATGACCTCCCATCGACCCGTGCGCTCCCACAGAGAGGGCCTCCTCAGGGTGCCATCAGCCAAACAATGTAGGCTGGTGGCCCCCAGGGGGAGGGCTTTCTCTGTGGGGGCTCCCACCCTCTGGAATCAGTTGCCCCCGGAGATAAGAAGAATCCAGGACCTCAATGCCTTCCGTCGTTCCCTGAAAACCTATCTTTTTCAGCAAGCCGGGTTGGCTTAAGAAGAAATTTTAAAATTTTTAAATCCTTTTAATTAGTCTGTGATTTTTAATTTTTTGGGCCAAATTTTATATATATTTTTAAATGTTTTAATATTTGTATTCTATGTTTTTTATCTTGGCTGTACACCGCCCTGAGTCCTCAGGGAGAAGGGCGGTATATAAATTCGAAATTAAATTAAATTAAATTAAATTAAGTACATGCCAGTTGCCAAGTGTTTGAATTTTGGTCACGTGTCCATGGGAGATTCTGCAATACTCATGCGAAAAACAGTCTACAGAAGAATAGAATAGAATAGAATAGAATAGAATAGAATAGAATAGAATAGAATAGAATGAGAGAAATAATAGGAATGGAATGGAATGGAATGGAATGGAATAGAATAGAATAGAATAGAATAGAATAGAATAGAATAGAATAGAATAGAATAGAATAGAATAGAATAGAATAGAATAGAATGAGAAATAATTGGAATGGAATGGAATGGAATGGAATGGAATGGAATGAGAGAAATAATAGGAATAGAATAGAATAGAATAGAATAGAATAGAATAGAATAGAATAGAATAGAATGAGAGAAATAATAGGAATGGAATGGAATGGAATAGAATAGAATAGAATAGAATAGAATAGAATAGAATAGAATAGAATAGAATAGAATAGAATAGAATAGAATAGAATAGAATAGAATAGAATAGAATGAGAGAAATAATAGGAATAGAATAGAATAGAATAGAATGAGAGAAATAATAGGAATGGAATAGAATAGAATAGAATAGAATAGAATAGAATAGAATAGAATAGAATAGAATAGAATAGAATGAAAGAAATAATACGAATGGAATGGAATGAAAGAAATAATAGGAATGGAATGGAATAGAATAGGAAAGGGGAGAAGAGGAGAGGAGAGGAGAGGAGAGGAGAGGAGAGGAGAGAGAGAAGAGAAGAGAAGAGAAGAGAAGAGAAGAGAAGAGAAGAGAAGAGAAGAGAAGAGAAGAGAAGAGAAGAGAAGAGAAGAGAAGAGAAGAGACCTTGGAAGTCTTCTAGTCCAGTCTCCTGCTCAGGCAGGAAACCCGATATTATTTCAGATGTCTCCGAAATATGAATTCAGAAATCAGTGTTTTTTTAAGCACCGTTGTAACCTCGAACGGTCGCTAAATGGATGGTTGTAAGTGGAGAATCACCTTTACAGATAGTTCACGCTCTTTGAAAACCGTTCCACCCAAGGAGCTGTCCCACTCCTATTTTAATCTGCTTTTTTTTTTCCTTCCCTTTTCCAAATAGCTTAATAATTTTTATTTTTATTTTTCTTTCAGGATCTGTGTTCGTTTCTGTTATATGGGATGAAGTTCTCCCTGGGCTGTACAGAGATATTTAAAGGCTGGGAAGGCAAGATGTCCAAGCATCGCATTACGAAAACGGAGGCCATTTTCTCTCGGAGACCGACATCGACGTATCTGTAACATCTTTCAGAGGTTGATTTTTGAGCATGTGATTTTAATGCCTAGTAGGCTCCTGTGCTTTAAAAATTTCCTACGCTGAGGCACGTGGGGGGAAAAAAATCACCAGGATCTGTTTTCAGATCCTTGAAAACCTGAAAAGCCGAACGCCTGTGCCTTTTATAAGGGAAGTTATCTTCATTTATGCATCCATTTCATCCATTTCAGGAGATAGGAGTTAGCGTTCTAAGGGAAAACAATTCATTCAAAAAATGTACCAAAAAAAAAAAAAAGTGTCATAGAAAAAATTATATATACTTTTTCATTCAAAAAATGAAAAATGGGCAATCGGATGGCAGCTAAAACGGTCATAATTAAAGATTATTATGAGATTTAGCTCAAGAACACGGTTTTTTTAAAAAAAAACAAAAAAAAAGTCAACCATTTTGGATGCTTGGACTTCAACTCCCAGAATTCTCCAGCCTGCCTTGGCTAGGGAATTCTGGGAGTTGAAGTTCCCCCTATCCTAAAACGGATAACTTTGAGAAACACTGGGCTTGAAAATGATTTAGTAAACTACACCATAAATAAGTCTTAATCTGGAAATGTGGGATTCTTTTGCGGGCTATCCAAATCGTTTTAAATTTCTGCCTCCTAAGCAGTGACAGAATATTATTTATTATATATTTATAATATTATATTATAATACAAATATAAATATTATAATATTTATTATGTATTATAAATATATAATTATTTATATGAGAATACTTTATATTCTCATATAAAGTGAGGCAGCCTCAAATCGCCCTAGAAACATTTTTCCAAGTATTTGATGCTATTTTTTTTTTTAAAGCGTGAGCCAGCTTTGTATAAATGATAATTTATAAAGCACAGTTTCATGCATTTACCTTATGCATCTGAAAAAGTTCAAACCCAGCAGCTTTATATCATTAACTAAGGGCTGAAAAGTTACTTTTTGGGAGTACCTCTTTATTGCTAAAGCGGCAAACGATCCCAAAAATGAGAAACAAGATCCGTATGGTTTCGACATATGCTTCGAGATTTCAGGCATCGATAAAAGAGAATTTCCTCAATTATTTGCACAATCTGGAACTCGGCAGTTTATGAAATAAAACAAGACGGGGCCATAATTGTTCTGGAAGCTTAGCGTTATTTCCTTCCAGAATTTCTAATTTTGTTCTGTTAATATAAAACCGTTTCTATTTTGTTCTGTTCGTTAATTCCGTTAGGTTTTCCCCCCCTTCCCCGAATCGAACAAGGATGCTAACATTTAGAAAGAGCGAACGGTTCATTTCAGGAAAAACGTGAAATTTCCCACCCATTTTTAAGTTGGAAGCAACTTTAAAAGAAATTTGGGTCTTTTTGGACTTTTAAAAACGCCTAATGTGAACTAGAGTTGATAGGATATTGCCTGGAAATACCCAGTATTTTTTTTTTTTTTTAAAGAACGTGTCTTAATATTTTTGGTGGATGGAAAACTTTTGGTGGGGTTTATTTTTATTTTTTTTGCCTGGTTTACATTTAAAGAACATTGAAGTGATCCTAAATTGCCGTCAGCTGTCCTTGAATTCCAGCTAAAGGATTTCTGTTCATGTTAACGGTTGTCTCCTTCACGATAATGGCGAAATTCGCGCTGTAATATTGTATATTATACGCATTTGAGATGTCGTCATTGTCGACGTGGCAAAACGGCTGCAGAAGCGAGGCATCAAAATATTCCTGCAGCAAATCAGGCAAAGGACGGGGAATATTGAGTTCTAATCTTTGCACTAATTGGATTAGAAACATCATCTTCAGTTTCCCTTACCCTGCGAAACTTGAATGTGGCACGTCCCTTCCTGGAAAAATGAACCAAGCCTGAACAAAATCACCCACAACTTTACATAGTGGGGTTAATATTGTCTTAAAAAGAGTAGAAAATGGATTTATTTTCTTAATAAAGAATAGCTTACTTTTACAAACTCTTGAGAGTTTTTTTCCCCCTTCCCTAGACTTTAAACCCCCAATATTCACTCATTTCCATAATTCCATAATCAAGATTTGCTGCATTTCACATAATCGGAAGGCAGGACACGTAGTCCTCGACTTAGAACCGTTCGTTTAGTGACCGTTCGAAGGTCACTCAACGAAGAGTTTATGATGACAGAACGACGCTAAAAAAAGGAACTTAACGACCGTTTCCCACACTTGCAGCAACCCCCGTGGTCATGTGATCATCGTTCGGGCACTTGGCGACCGACTCGTATTTATGACGGTTGCAGTGTCCCAGGGTTACGTGATCTCCCTTTTGTGACCTTCTGACAAGCCAATGGGGAAGGCAGTTTCACTTAACAGCCATGTTGCTAACTACATCCTGAGCTGCACATACGGGTAAGACCTCGTTTTGCCCCAGCTACGGACCCAAAGAACACAGCACACACAGAAGTCTGTACAAACCTTAGTTTACTAAATTAAACCAGTATTTTTCAAACAAAGGCTGTTAATTAACTTTCTTAACAGCCTACAAGAATCCAAAGAATAAATAATCGTAATCTTACTGTGGTTGGCAGAAAGCCCACAAGCAAATTGCAGAGAACTAAGATCAAGACGTGAAGGAGAGTGAACTAAAGTTGTTCCCTACAAATTGCTTCAGTCGGCGTTCCTCCTTAAATAGGCTAAGGGAGTGGCCAATTAGCCCCAAGCCTTACTTTTGTGGAGACCTCCACCTGAGGAACCACTCCTGCCTTTTGGCAGCTCTGCACGCCTGTGCATCGAGAAAAGGCTCCTCCTCTTCGTCCTCTTCACTTATGGGAGCTTCTGGAGGTTCTGAAGGCCCTGGCTGAATCCCCGCCTCTGGCACCACATCTTCTCTAGCCTCCTTACTGTCCGACTCGAGTGCCAGCTGCACAGGCTGCTGGCGCAGCACCAAACCAGCCTCCTCGCTGTCTGAATCAGCTACTAGCTGCACAGGCCGCTGACGGGCCACAACAGTCCTTGGCTTACAACTGGTTGGTGAAATGGCCAAAGTTACACAACAGACCCACCTGCCTCTCTCGATACTTACGCCCTGGTTCTGAAGGCCACAACCCCACCGTCACACAACCACATTCCAACAACCATTGGTGGCCATTTGCGGCGTCCCGCAAACCCCTTAACCCCAATTTATAACATTTTTGCTGAAAACCAGTGTTTTGCCAAAATCAGCCCATAGTGAACACGGGCTCACTTAATGACTGGGAAGTTTGCTTTATGACAGCAAGTCCATAAAGACGAGTCTACTTACCTGGTGAGCCACATTATGACCATCACGACTTAACAGCTGTAAACTGAGGACTTCCTGTACCGTGGCTACTACAGAGATTGCGAAAGTAGAAATATCTTTTTAAAGATATTTTAATTTTATGATGTTTGTGTGTCTATATTTTTCTTGACTGTACACCGCCTTGAGTCCTACGGGAGAAAGGCGGTATAGAAATATAATAAATAATAAATAATAATAATAATAAAGCATCCAAATCAACACCAGCAACTTTTAACCTGAGCAGAAACATGGGAAAAAAATGGAAGTTCCTGGCAATAAGCAAGCTAAGCCGTAAGATACAAAAATCATCTTTATTGAACTACATCATTTTCATTTATAGCAGAAATAACAAAAAGGTTTTTTTTTAATCTGGAGCGCAGAACCGTCTGCTTCGGTGCCAAAAACGGACTCCTAGAAACATTATATACGAGATTCTCGGAGAAGACGGGAGTCAATTCTTTGCAGGGTCCCCGCAATTTCCTCGACTTTATACCTCTGTTGTTAACTCTAGCCACCTTTGATAATAGAATAGTAAGATTCCTATTGTGTGAACCTGGCTATAGACAAACAAGCATTAAAACATACGGGAACGACCCCTGGAACCCTCTAGAACAGTGTTTCTCAACCTTGGTAGCTTGAAGATGGATGGACTTCAACTCCCAGAATCCCCCAGCCAGCAGCGCTGGCTGGGGGATTCTGGGAGTTGAAGTCCATCCATCTTCAAGCTTCCAAGGTTGAGAAACACTGCTGTAGAATTTCTGTTCTAAATTACAATTTTATTCCTTACCCTCTAGTACCTACAAGCGTGTCCAACCTTGGCAACTTTTTAAGATTTGTGGACTTCAAGTCCCAGAATTTTAAGACTTTGGGACTTTCGACTCCCAGAATTCCCCAGCATGTCAGGCTGGCTGGGGAACTCTGGGAGTTGAAGTCCACTCGTCTTAACAATTTGTTGAAATTGGACTTCCCTGCTCTACTATATCGTGTAAGGGCTCTCCAATTGCAAGCCATAATTAATTCTCCAATCAGAGCCAAGATATAACTTCCCCTCCTCTGTGTGTGTGTGTTGCATCTATGTGCATGCAAAAAAAAGTCAAATCATGTTTTATAAGCACAGCTACAAAACCATTTACAGTCTTCGTGTTTGGGTCTAATAAGAGGAACTCTGTTCATTCTTGTAACCTGGTCCGTCTTGGGGAATCTTGCTTTGAAGCGGCCAAGAGAATCTGAAAGACACAAGGAGACACGTTTCAGGAAAGAAAAAGAAGAAGAAGGAGAAGGAGAAGGAGAAAGAAAAAGAGAAAGAGAAAGAAAAAGAAAAAGAAACAGTCTGTAGTACAGTGGACTAAAACACAGTTATTAACATCTGCTGCTTGCAATTACTGCAGGTTCGAATCTCACCAGGCTCAAGGTTGACTCAGTCTTCCATCCTTTCTAAGGTGGGTAAAATGAGGTCCCAGTTTGTGGGGGCAATAAGCTGACTTTGTATAAAATATACAAAAGTATGAAGGCTATTGCTTAGCGCATTGTAAACCGCCCTGAGTCTCCAGAGAAGGGCGTATAAATTAAAGCAAAAAAAGAAAAAGAAAAAAAGACGGAGGGAGGGAGGGAGAAAAATAAAGAGAAAAAGAAAAAAAAGAAAGGCGGAGGGAGGGACGGAGAAAAATAAAGAGAAAAAGAGGGAGGGAAGGAAGGAAGGAAGAAAGAAAGGGAGGCAGGGTGGGAAGGAAGGAAGACGAAGGAAAGACAGAAATAAGAAAGGGAAGGAAGAAAAAGGGAAGGAAGAAAGAAGGAAAGAGAAAGAGAAAAAGAGAAGGAAGAAAAAGGGAGGGAAGGAAGAAAGAAAAAAAGGAAGAAAAGGGAAGGAAGAAAGGAAGAAAAAGGGAAGGAAGGAAAGAGGGAGGAAGAAAAATAAAGAAAAAGGGAAGGAGGGAAGGAAGGAAGAAAGGAAAAGACAAAGAAAAATAAGGGAAGGAAGAAAAAGGGAAGGAAGGAAGGAAGAAGGAAGGAAAGACAAAGAAAGAAGGAAGAAAAAGGGAGGGAAGGAAGGAAGGAAGAAAAAGGAAAAAGGAAGGAAGAAAGAAGGGAGGGAGAGAAGGAAGGAAGGAAAAAAAAGAAAGGGCGGGAAGGAAGGAGGGAGGGAGGGAAAAGAAAGAAAGAAAGAAAGAAAGAAAGAAAGAAAGAAAGAAAGAAAGAAAGAAAGAAAACGGGTAACAAGAACGCAGCCTTACAACATAACACACCCATCCAGCACCAGACATCTCCTGACACAGTTTCCCATTAGTTTTCTTTTCAAGTAAGCTTTTTTCAAATAATATAAGTACTTTTGTTGCCACATGGAAACCGCTTCTGAATTTCATGCTTGATATGGGAAAAAATGTAACTTTGACTTTGGGTTTTACAGATTAGACAGATAGATCTTTATAGAGATGACTTGTTTATATTATTATGGAAAAACAAAAAAGCTGTAATTTGAAGTTTTATTTTACTACAACAAAGGGACGTCGGAAGTCAATGCTTTTTTCTTTCTTTTTCCTACCCTTCCCCACTTCCCTTTCCTCTTTCCCTTCCTTCCTTCATGTTTCCTCTATTTACTTTTATATTTTATAATACTTAATAATTTAATAAAAAATGTTTGAAAAAAGAAAAGCTCAGAGTGTAGAATCCTAGCAGTTTCGAAAACCTGCATGTGCGAGTAGATTAATGGGTACCACCGGTGGGAAGGCAACAATGTTCCATGGGCCTTTGCCATACAGGTAGCCCTCGACTTACAACAGTTCATTTAGTGACTGTTCGAAGTTACAAAGGCACAGAAAAAAGTGACTCAGGACCATTTGTCATACTTAACGACCATCCCAGCATCCTCCCCATGGTCATGTGATTAAAATTCGGACGCTTGGCAACTCCCTCATATTTGTGACCGTTGCAGTGTCCCGGGGTCACGTGATCCCGTTTTGTGCCCATCTGATAAGCAAAGTCAACGGGGAAGCCGGATTCACTTAACAGCCGTATTACTAAGTTATCAACTGTGGCGTTTCGCTTAACAACAGAGGCAAGAAAAATCGTAAAGGGGGCAAAACTCCTTTAACAAATGTCTCATTTAACAACAGAATGTGGTCGTAAGTAGAGAACTTGACAAGCCCTCCACTTGTAGTCCTCCACTTACAACCGTTTGTTTAGCGACCATTCAATGTTACAACGGTGCTGAAAAATGTGACTTATACTTATGTCCGTCACGGATCCTTCATAGTGAGGTGAACAAAATCAGGCAGTTGGTGCGTAGGAGGGTTGCACTGTCCTGGGCTCACGAGATCCCCATTTTGCGACCTTCTGACGAGCAAAGTCAATTGGGGGAGGAGCCGGATTCACTTAACAAACAAAAGATTTTTCAACCCTGAAGCGAGCCTGGCTGAGACCATCTTTCACGATTGCCACAAGGCAAAGGGGGAGAAAGGACGGGGGAAAATCTTAGATAGTTTGGCCTGGCCGTCAAAAGAAAAAGTTTTCCTGTGGGAACCAAGGTCATTCCAAGAGGTGGCTGAGAAAAGGAGGAGTGGAGTAACCAGGCAACCTGCCAGCACCACTATTGGACAATGTGACCGATGACCTGGGGGGGGAGGGGGAAATAACCCTAACCCTAAAAGAGGGTGGAAATATCGGTGCGTCTTCTACACCGAATACGGCCATTTTTGGCCTCCCAAAACCCTGCCCCGCATATCCCGTTTTTGCCAAAAATGGACCCATTTTTTGCAAAAATGGGATGCACAGAGGGTTTGGGAGGCCTGCACAGTGCTCCTGGGGGTCGGGGAGGGCAAAAAACGGACGCGCAGAGGCCAAAAACTATTTTTTTTCTTGTTTTCCTCTTCAAAATCTTGGCGCGTCTTATACACCAGTGCGTCTTATAGTCCGAAAAATACAGTAGGTGAAAACGAGAACTTTCAGAGTCGGTTTTTACCAGACACGTGCCAATATGATGTATCCGATAAATTGTTCTTTGAGGAATCTACCTGCCTCGGAGTTCTGCTTTCAATGGGTGCATTACTTGGAACGCTGACAGGATTCACTTAACAGCTGAAAAGCAGAAGGTTAGGGTTTTTAACTGGATTATTTGTCCAGTTTTTAATGGGATTATTTGTCCAAACTGGAAATACTGTTCTGAGGTAAAGCAAGGAAATGAAGCCAGAGGCTCAACAGGAGAGACAATTAGGAGGGTCAACCTGGCCATCGTTCCTACCTTCCTTTAATGATCAACATCGGCATCTTCAAACTGTCCCGTAACTACTGGGGCCGCGTCAACTTCCATTCCATCTGAAAGCAAAAACAGCAACGGAATTGTCATGGCCCCCGTCGGAGTCTAAATCATGAAACTCGAGCTAAGCTTCAAAAGAAATCCAGTTATTTATTAAGAGCTTCATGTCCGCACGTTCCCAAATGAAGCCAGCTCTGACCCTATGTAATTTACCCTCCAATTATGACCTTGTTTCCCCCCTCCCCCCCAGGGTGTGTCATCAATCACATTCGGTTATAGGTCACTCCCCTCGGCTGCTGTAAGTAACCCTGGGATACAGCCTTGAGAGAGATAAGCGTGGAACAGAGATGAGAGGGTGGCTCACTTGGCCTTGGAGGAAACTGGGGAAGGGCAGATTCAGTCCGGGTAAGGCTTTTCAGGATTAGTAAGGCCTGCAGACAGGGAGGAGCAGGAGAGACAGAACTCAGGAGAAGAGCAAGGATCACCCTCTCCTGATCCTAGAGCACAGAGAGAAGAAAGAAGCGAGAACAACGCAGAGTGAGCTGGCTAGGAGGGAGGAGAGTGCCCTGCCCCCCTTCACAAGGCACACCTGGGGACTGAGCTGTAAGGAGGTGCTGATGGGAGGGGAATTTGTTGGTTCCCCTAGCACATATGTGCTAGTCGTTCCCGACTCTAGGGGACGGTGCTCATCTCCGTTTCAAAGCCGAAGAGCCAGCACTGTCCGAAGACGTCTCCGTGGTCATGTGGCCGGCATGACTCAATGCCAAAGGTGCACGGAACGCTGTTCCCTTCCCACCAAAGGTGGTCCCTATTTTTCTACTTGCATTTTTTACGTGCTTTCGAACTGCTAGGTTGGCAGAAGCTGGGACAAGTAACAGGAGCTCACCCCGTTACGCGGCGCTAGGGATTCGAACCGCTGAACTGCCGATCTTTCGATCGACAAGCTCAGCATCTTAGCCACTGAGCCACCACATCCCTTGTGACACCAGCTACTTAGGGGTAGGTAAATGCAGATTATTTGAGAAAATAAAAAGAATATTAAATGCAGCAAGTAACTTCTGTTCCAGAACCTTCTGTAATTCCGTCCACTTGTAGGGCACAAATAATTCAGGTAGTCCTTGACTTAATAATTGTTTGATTACTGACTGTTCAAAGTTACAAGGGCACTGAAAAAGGGATTTATGACCGTTTTTCACACGTACGACCATTGCCGCATCCCCGTGGTCACGTGATCAAAATTCAGATGCTTGGCAACTAACTAATATTTATGACGGTTGCAGTGTCCTGAGGTCATGTGATCCCCTTTTACGACCTTCTGGCAAGCCAAGTGAATGGGGAAGTCAGATTCACTTAACAACCATGTTGTAAACTTAATGACTGCAGTGATTCATTTAACAACCGTGTTATAAATTTAATGACTAGTGATTCACTTAACAACCGTTATAAACTTAATAACTGCAGTGATTTGCTTAACAACCGTGTTATAAACTGAACTGCAGCGATTCGCTTAACAACCGTGTTATAAACTTAACGACTGCATCCGCATCCCAATCCCGATCATCAGATGGAAGCGGAGTTAGTTGAAAACGATCAGGCGGATTTCTCTACTACTCGACACAAGAAGAGACTTGTGTGGAACGGCAAAAATCGCTTGCTGAGTTTGGAGGCGCCTGCCTTAAATTCTGACGGGAAACGGCCCTTCAAACATACCAAAATCGCCCAAGAAAAGCCGCAAGCTGAATTCGTACCTTCAAAGTCCCTCAGAGTATCTTCCGTTCGCACCCCAGCCATGTGGTACTGAGTGCTTATGGACTGGGCCAGCATGCCCTCCAGTCTTTCCAAAGTCGCCTGACCCTCTGCTGTTAAACGCGACAAGCCTTCCTCGTACGTGTAGAAGGACGGGATATCGCCTTGACCAATTTCTGTGCCAAGAACAAAATCCGAAATGCAGGTTAGCCTTAAAGCAGGGATCCCAAACTTGTGGGCCGCGACCTGATGACCACTGAGCCACGAGTGGCCAGCCAGAGGGCGCACGTCCATATGGCCCCACTTGCGCAAGCTGTTGTGGCCTGTCGCGCCGCGAGCCTCTCCGGCAGCTGAATCAGAGGAGGAGGAGGAGGAGCGTGGGAGTCAAGGTCAGCATCAAGGCAACGTGAGAGCTCCGAGGGGGAAGAGGAACTGGAGCTGGCAGAGAGAGAGAGAGGGAGGGAGGGAGGGAGAGAGAGGGAGGGAGGGAGAGGGAGAGAGAGAGGGCCGTCTGTCAGCCCTCAGATAGAGAGTCAACACCCACAGGTCTGGAGGTGGCTGATGAGGAAGAGGAGGAACAGCTGGGTCCTGTGCCTGACACGCAGATGCACAGAAAGCAGAGGAGAGGAGAGCAGTGGAAATCTATGGGCCGGTCCTTGGGACAGAAGAGCCACTGCTGCTAGCAAGGCCTCACCCTAGCTCTGGGGATAAAAGGCAGGGGGCGGAGATGAATAGATGTGACAGACAACTATTCATCTTCCGGCTGGCCGGACTTGTTAGCCTGCGGTGAGAACTTTTTGCCAGGGCTGCCGGTGCTCCTAACACAGGAATCTGTTAACTTCAGAGGGTTTGTCGTTTGGGGAGCTGGGACAAAACACGAGCGTTGCCGTAAGTATTCGCGGTCCCACTCACGCGAGCCTCATTGCTCGCAGCCCCACTCGCACGACTGTCACTGTGCAGGCATAAAACCATCCCCTCTTTCCCCCCTCCCACTGCTCTGGGCCGCCAACCTGAAAAGTATGGGGAACTCCGCCTTAAAAGAGAACCCAACAGGGTCTGGTCACGTGATCAAAATTCAGATGCTGGGCAATTGACTCGTATTTATGACCGTTACAGCGTCCCGGAGTCAGGTGATCCCATTTTGCGACCTTCGGATGAGCAAAGTCAATGGGGAAGCCGGATTCACCCAACAACCACGTCACTGACTTAACAACGGCAGTGATTCGCTTAACAACTGTGGCAAGAAAGGTCGTAAAATGGGGGAAAAGTCACTTAGCAAATGTCCCCCTTAGCGACAGAAATTTTAGCCTCAATTTATCGTCGTAAATCCAGGACTACCTGTATTACTTTCCGGGAATTATCAAGTCACCTGATTCTATTACCTATATTTGTGGTGACGGCCGTTCAGCTAATGGCGCAGTCATTAAGCAAAAACCACAGTTATTAAGTGAGCACTGCAGTCATTAAGAAAGTCTGTTTTTCCCAGTGGACGTTGTTTGCCAGAAACTCGAAGTCAACATCAGAAGCTAGTAAAACAACACACAAAGGCACATGACCTTAGAGCAGTGTTTCTCAACCTTGGCCGCTGGACGAGGTGCGGACTTCAACTCCCAGAATTCCCTAGCCAGCTCTGCTGGCTGGGGAATTCTGGGAGTTGAAGTCCGCACCTCGTCCAGCGGCCAAGGTTGAGAAACAGTGCCTTAGAGCATGGCAAACTGCCATAAATCCAAGCCAAGCGCCCACAATACGATCACATGACACCCCCCCTGGACCAAGGGGGTGTTCGGAAACATTCAAAGAGGTCATAAGTAGCTCTGGGAAAGTCCGTAACTTCAAGCAGTGAGTAAGCGAGCAGTCGTTAAGTGAGGACTACCTTCCAGACTAAAACAATGATTAATCAATGAATGTCTGGAGATTCTCCATCATCCGTGGTTGCCCCAAAGGTGCTCTTTTTCAAGAGGTAAGTGGACTTCCTTGGTTTTTCTTTGAAGACGTTTTGCTTCTCATCCGAGAAACTTCTTCAACTCTGACTGGATCAGAGGTGGGTTTCAGCAGGTTCTGACCGGTTCTGGAGAACCGGTAGCGGAAATTTTGAGTAGTTCGGAGAACCGGTAAATACTACCTCTGGCTGGCCCCCTCCCCGTCTATTCCTTGCCTCCTGAGTCACAGCTGATCGGGAGGAAATGGAGATTTTGCAGTATCCTTCCCCTGGAGAGGGGAGGGAATGGAGATTTTACAGCATCCTTCCCCTGGAATGGGGAGGGAATGGAGATTTTACAGTAGCCTTCCCCTGGAATGGGAAGGGAATGGAGATTTTACAGTACCCTTCCCCTGGAATGGGGAGGGAATGGAGATTTTATAGTAGCCTTCTCCTGGAGTGGGGAGGGAATGGAGATTTTACAGTATCCTTCCCCTGGAATGGGGAGGAAATACAGATTTTACAGTAGCCTTCCCCTGGAATGGGGAGGGAATGGAGATTTTACAGTAGCCTTCCCCTGGAATGGGGAGGGAATGGAGATTTTACAGTAGCCGTCCCCTGGAATGGGGAGGGAATGGAGATTTTACAGTAGCCTTCCCCTGCCATGCCCACCAAGCCACGCCCACAGAACCGGTAGTAAAAAAAATTGAATCCCACCATGATGACGAACAGAAGGATTTATATTCCTTGCAGTCATCTGGTCATTTGCATCCTTTTTGAGGATCGTTGAGGCCACTTGGAGGTTTGTCTGTCTCCTCAAGGTCACCCAAGCGGTGCAAATGGGTGTGGAGCAGTGCTGGGTTACTACCAGTTCGTCCCAGATCGGGCGAACCTGTAGCGGCGCCGGGAAGCTCCGCCCACCCACCCGGACGTCTCTGCGCATGTGCAGAAGGGTTGCGCCCGCCCGCCCGCCCGCCAACGAACCAGTAGCAACCAAAATTGAACCCCAACTACTGGTGTGGAGCCTTCTTGGAACTGCTGAAAGGATTGTGTTGTGGAACTGTGCTTCCAGCAATTCCAAGAAGGCCGACACCCAGTTGCACCACTCAGGTGACCCGGAGGCCACAGACAAACCTCCAAGTGGCCTCAACGGCCTTCTAAAAGGATGCAAATGACCAGCTGTCTGCAAGGAGTATCAATCCTTCCCTTCCCCACCATCCAGTCAGAGCTGAAGAAGCTTCTTAGGATGAGAAGCGAAACGTCTTCAAAAGAAAAAAAACCAGAAAGTCCACTTGCCTCTTCAAAAAAAAAAAAAGGTCATTTGGGACATTAATCAACGAAGCTTTTTTTTTTTTCTTTTTCTTTTTGGTAAGGATACAAAACTGCCAGTTAATGGGGCCTAACCTGGATCAAGGTCAACAGGGAACAGGGTGGATAAAAATCAATGATTTTTTTTAAAAAATCAAGAAAATCAGTTTTTTTTTATTTAAATTGGATTTTTTTGATTTAAATTGGATTTTTTTGATTTTTATTGAATTTATTTTAATAAAAAACTGTTGGGGTAAAAATCTATCGTAAGATAGTTTTCTATTTAAGATACATAAATAATTTAGTTTATTCAGCATGAAATGGAGCTGAGTTATGTAGCAGGAGGCTGTATATTCTGCAACACTGGGACTATCGGTGAGTCAACAGCGGGTCAAAGGAGTAGCGGAGATGACAGTTGCTCTTTAAAACTTATGATTTAAATCGAGTTGATTTAAATCAAGCCTTTTTTACTAGTGATTTAAATCATGATTTAAATTGTGATTTAAATCAACTCGATTTAAATCAAATCCACCCTGACGGGAAATGATGGCACATTGATGGCATGCCAATCCCACCCACTCACCGTGAGCCTCGACGTCATATTCCTCGCCATCGTAATTGCCGTCGGAGTCTTCGTCCTCTGGATCGGGGTGCAGGGCCTGGCATTCGCACATGGCAGTGAACATGGCTTCCACTAAGGTTAAAACACAGGTGCAAAATTGACTTCGCTCAGAGACTGCTCCATAAATGTATTGTCAGCCTCCGCTCTTTCATAGCTTACTTGCTCGGCTGCTATGAAACGGGAGGGAGGGGGGAGCTATTGGAATTCTTGGGAGGGGGGAAGCGAGCTGGAGGAAAACGAAAGTAAAACTTTGGATGATTTACGCTGGACAGTTGTAGGGGGGATGCTTTCTATATGTGATTTTTCGCACCTTTGCTTCGGACCTTGCTTTTCTTTGATTGCATTCAGTTCTTATTCCAGTAAAAGTTACCTTTCTCTATGAAAATGGAGCCGGGGTTTTTCTTTCTTGGATAATGAAAGGAGGCCGTCCTGACACGTATTTTGACAGACATCTGACACGTGTTGATGACGACTGCCACGTCCCGGGGTCACGGGATCACCTTTTGTGACCTTCCCAGCTCGTTTCCGACAAACAATGTCAATGGGGATGGGGGGGGGGGGGGAGCCAGATTTGCTTAATGACCAAACGATTCACTTAACAACTGCAGCGATTTGCTTAACAGTTGTGGCAAGAAAGAGCTTAAATTTGGGGGTCGCTGTTCACTTAAACCACTGTCTTGCTTAGTGGTGGAAAGTTGGGGCTCCAGTGCGGTTGTAAGTCGAGGACTACCTGTACTTGTCCCGTGAAAGCTGGATGGGTGACTTTGGGCCAATCACCAGGAGACCTTGAGTTCTAATCCCGCCTTAGGCATGAAAGCTGGCTGGGTGACTTTGGGCCAAAGTCTCTTTCAGTCCAACTCACCTCACAGGGTTGTTGTGGGGAAAATAGGAGGAGAAAGGTATACTTGCTTATGTTTGCCACCTTGAGTTATTTGTGAAAATAATAAAGGCAGCATATGAATGAATGAATGAATTTTGTGTATTTATGTATTTTATTGTTGGCTGTAAACTGTGATGTATGAGTAGTTTGGTGTAAAATTCTGTTCTCATCAACTCAAGTTACAATAACATGCCCTGAGTCCTTCGGGAGTAGGGCGGTATACAAATCAAATAAACTAAATAAACTGAATGAATGAATGAATCGATCAATCAATCAATCAATCAATACATCCACCCATCCATCCATACGGGCTTGACTCCCTCCATCCCTCACCTCATCCAGAATATAATCTCCATGCCAAAACTAGTGTGGTCTTTTTTTCCCTACTTACACGCTGATTTGTCGCCGGGTACAAATCGGAATTCCGAGATGGGTTCAAGCTCATCGTCACTCTCCTCTTCTCCCTCCTCCGGAATGGGACTTTCTCTGGATTCTTCTACTAAGAAATCAAGAACGAAGATGCACGTCAAGGAACCTGGCATTCCTGCCTCGCTTCTCCAAGGAAGTAGGACCACCTGGGAGCTCCTGCTGTCATTTCCAGTGAAGACAGCTAATAGCCAGGGAGAATCATTAAAATCCAATTAACTGGGTGTAACTCACACAATTTTTGGTTTCTATTGGGAGAAATGAAAGAAAAAAGGGAAGAGAAAGAAAAAGAGAGAAAGAAAGAGAAGGGCGGGGAGAGAATGAAAGGGAGAGAAGGGAGAAAAAAGAGAAAGAGAAAGAAAGAGGGAGAAAAAGAGAAATTCAAGAGAAGAAAGGACTAGAAAAAAGAGAAAGAAAAAGAAAGGAAAGAAAGAAAGAGGAAGGAAGGATCCCAAATGCTTTTTCAGGCCACTGGACTTTGTTTTTCTTTGAAGACATTTCGCTTCTCACCCAAGAAGCTTCTTCAACTCTGACTGGATGGTGGGAAATGGAAGCTGAAGCTTCTTGGTTGAGAAGCGAAATGTCTTCAAAGAAGGTCCAGAAAGTTGACTCCTGAAAAAGCGTCTTTGGGACAACCATGACCTGGATGACTTGAGAATCTCCATAGACATCGATGGAGGCAAAGAGAAGATTCCAGAGAATAAAGGACTAGAAAAAAAAAGAGGTTGACTCAGCCTTCCATCCTTCTGGTAAACTCAGGATCCAGATTGCTGCAGGCAAGATGCCGACACTGTAAACTGGTTAGAGAGGGGTTGGAAAGCACTGTGAAGCGGTATATAAATCTTAAGTGCTATTAGGGAAGGAGAGAGGGAGGAGATGTGGTGGCACAATGATTAAAAGGCAGTATTGCAGGCTGACTCTGCCGACTGCCAGGAGTTCGATCCCGACCGGCTCAAGGTTGACTCAGCCTTCCATCCTTCCGAGGTGGGTAAAATGAGGACCCAGATTGTTGGGGGCAAGAGGCTGACTCTGTAAACCGCTTAGAGCGGGGCTGTAAAGCACTGTGAAGCGGTATATAAGTCTAAAGTGCGATTGCTAACTAGACCAACTTACCTTCAAACTTTGCATTCACCATGACGTACAAATGTTCCCACGGGTAGGTATTCAAGTCCCTGGAGATGGCATGTAAGCTTATGATGGGATAGTCCAATGAGAACCCAAGGCCTGAATCTGCTATCCATGACAGACGACTAAGAATGCAAAGCAACACACAAAAAAATAAGTTGTAACTTGAGTTGATGAGAACATAATTTTACACCAAACTACTCATACATCACAGTTCACATCGATCTGAGCCATAACAGCAGGGTGGATTTGATTTAAATCGAGTTGATTTAAATCACAATTTAAATCATGATTTAAATCACTAGTAAAAAGGCTTGATTTAAATCAACTCGATTTAAATCATAATTGTTAAAGAGCAACTGTCATCTCTGCTACTCCTTTGACCCACTGTTGACTCACCGATAGTCCCAGTGTTGCAGAATATACAGCCTCCTGCTACATAACTAAGCTCCATTTCATGCTGAAGAAACTAAATTATTTATGTATCTTAAATAGAAAACTATCTTACGATAGATTTTTACCCCAAAAGTTTTTTATTAAAATAAATTTGATAAAAATCAAAAAGATCGGATTTAAATCAAAAAAATCTGATTTAAATAAAAAAAATCCGATTTAAATCAAAAAAATCTGATTTTTTTAAAAAAATCATTGATTTTTATCCACCCTGCATAACAGTCACATATTTGATTATTTTTTTAAAGCTGCTACAGAATAAAACCTGGATCCAAGACACAGATGCTCATGGATACAGGAGGCAGGAGTATCAGTCGGGATTATACAGAAGAGGGATTCAGTGCTGGGCCAGTCACCCTTTCTCGGGTCAACCAGCCTCACTGGCTTGTTGCCGCGGAGAAAATAGGAGGAAGAAACTGTGTTCTCCATCTTGAGTTATTTATAAAAATAATGAAGGCTGGATACAAATAAATGAAAAATTAAAAAAAAGATTTATTTGCCACTTTACATACCATCAAACCAATATAAAATAAAGTTATCCACCGGAAATCATTAGACTGTAACCATCTAAAACAGAAAGAGCTATAACAATGGTGGGCCTGGCAATTTTTACTATTGTTGTGACCCAACAGCTAGGATCTCAGACACACATCTTTAAGGGTTTACACATTTTTCCACGTATATCCTGAGATCACTTAGGGCCATCATAGCTACTGTAGCTTACATACATTTGCCAAGTTTGAACAATACTGGGTTAACCTGCAAGGATGCCACATGCTTGGACATTATGAGCTTCAAATATCTATCTATCTATCTCTTATCTATCTATCTATCTATCTATCTGTCTGTCTGTCTGTCTACTGTATCTATCTACCTATCTGAATTTTCTATATCATCTATCTATCTCCCATCTATCTATATCCCATCTATCTATATCCTCTCTATATCTATATCCTATCTATCCATCCATCCTTCTACATTCCATCTATCTATATATCCGAACTATATCTATATCTATATCCTTTCTGTCTATCTATCTATATCCTATCTATCTATATCCTATCTATATCTATATATCCTATATATCCTTCCTTCCTATCTATCTACCCTGTTTCCCCCTAAATAAGACATCCCCTGATAATAAGCCTAATTGTGCTTTTGAGCACATGGCAATAAGGTCAAGCGCTTATTTCAGGGTTCAAAAAATAGGGGTCTTATTTTCAAGGTATCTATCTATCTATCTATCTATCTATCATCTATCTGTATTCTTTCTATATCGTCTATCTCCCATCTATCTACCTCCCATCTATCTTATCTGTCTATATCCCATGTATCTATATCTTCTCTATATCTATATCCTATCTATCCATCCACCCATCCACATTCCATCTATCTATATATCTTAACTATATCTATAGCCTATCTGTCTATCTATATCCTATCTATATCTATATCCTATCTATATCTATTACCTATCTAGCTATCCATCCATCCATCTATATCCTATCTATCTATCGACCTATCTGTATTCTTTCTATATCGTCTATCTCCAATCTATCTACCTCCCAGCTATCTATCTGTCTGTCTATATCCTATCTATCTATATCTTCTCTATATCTATATCCTATCCATCCACATTCCATCTATCTATATATCCTCTATATCTATATCCTCTCTGTCTGTCTATATCCTATCTATATCATATTCTATCTAGCTAGCTATCCATCCATCCATCTATATCCTATCATCCATCCATCTATCATCTATCTATCTATCTATCATTTATCTCATCCATCTCATCTATCTTTTATCATCACCATCTATCTGTCTGTCTGTCTGTCTGTCTATCTATCATCTATCTATCATCTCTTTTATCATTGTCATCATCTATATTTATCTATCTGTCTATCTATCATCTATGTATCTATGTATCTAGCTATCATCTATCTTTTATCATCATTATCTATTTGTCTATCTATCATCCATTATCTATCCATCTATCTCTATTTAACATCCTATCACCTACATCTACAGTATCATACCTCTCTTTATATCTCTTTATCATCTATATCCATCCATCCATCTATTCTCTCTCTCTTTCCCTCATCCATCCATCCATCCATCCTATATATATATATCCTATCTGCCTGCCTGCCTGGCCCTTTTTATTTTTACAAATCAACTCAAGGCAGGGGGAGAACATACCCAACATCCTTTCTTCCTCCCATTTTCCCCACAACAAGAACCACCACCCTGTGAGGTGGGTTGAGCTGAGAGAGAGAGAGAGAGACTGGCCCAAAGTCACCCCATTATTACAATTATGATCTGATGAATGCAATTAAGCGACCCAATAGCAGCCTTTTGGGGTGGGGGTGGGGGGGACCACGTAGAAAACGGCATCCAGGGCGGTCCGTCCATTCTTGCCCATTGGAGCTGCGATCATATTGTGGCAGGAGGCGGTTTCCGAGCTGCAAGGGGCCCCATCTGGAGGGCGCCAGGTTGGAGAATCTGACCACGGATGAAATCCACCGGCCCGGCCTCCTCCTCCTCCGAAAAAAAGGCCGATTTTAGGATGATTCCTCCGCCCTTCCAGTGGCAGGGAGTTCCGCAGGTCTCTCTTCGTTGTAGGTATATATCTATAGGCCCCTCACCTCTCCGCGATGAAGAGGCTGCCGGTGCCCAGGCCGCGTCCCGCGAGCACGGCCTCCGTATCGGGTTGCCGCAGCCGGATCGCCTCGCTCGGCTCCGGGATGCGCTTCAAGAAGCTCATAGCGAGCGCCAGGCCTATCCCCGAGCAGGGAGACACAGGAAGTACAACCCGCCCCAGGATGACCCCAGACGCTCCGCCCTTTCCTTCCGCCGTCACCATAGAGGAGAGGGGGAGAGAGAGAGAGCGCCCCGCGCGCCTATGGCTGTCACCATAGAGACGGAAGGACGGCGCTCCCCGGCGGCGACTGTGGCGGTGTCACGTAACTTTCTCCCCGCCTATTCTATCCCTCCTTCCCTCCATTTATCCCTCCTTCCCTCCCTCCATTTATCCTTCTATCCATTTATCCCTCCTTCCATTTATCCCTCTATCCCTCCCTCCATTTATCCCTCCCTCCATCTATCCCTCCTTCCTTCCCTCCAATTATCCCTCCCTCCATCTATCCCTCCACCCCTCCATTTATCCCTCCCTCCCTCTGTCCCTCCTTCCCTCCATTTATCCCTCCCTCCCTCCATCTATTCCTCCTTCCCTCCATTTATCCCTCTCCCTCCCTTCATCTATCCCTTCTTCCTTCCATTTATCCCTCTCCCTCCCTTCATCTATCCCTTCTTCCCTCCACTTATCCCTCCCTCCCTCTGTCCCTCCTTCCCTCCATTTATCCCTCTCCCTCCCTTCATCTATCCCTTCTTCCCTCCACTTATCCCTCCCTCCCTCTGTCCCTCCTTCCCTCCATTTATCCCTCTCCCTCCCTTCATCTATCCCTTCTTCCTTCCATTTATCCCTCCACCCCTCCATTTATCCCTCCCTCCCTCTATCTCGCCTTCCCTCCATTTATCCCTCCACCCCTCCCTCCCCTGTTCCCTCTCTCCCTCCCTCCACCCCTCCATTTATCCCTTCCTCCATCCCTCCATCTCTCCTTAGTTCAAGGTTGTTTCTTTCCTTCATTAATTTCCAACCATTGTTTCTTGTCTTGTCTTCTGCTGCTTTGGAGAATAGGTTGGTGCCCTCTTCTTCATGGCAGCCCTCAAATACTGGAAGACTGCTATCACGTTACTCCTAGTCCTTCTTTTCACTATACTAAACATACCTAATTCCTACAACTGTTTTTCATATGTTTTAGCCTCCAGCCTCCTAGCCTGTCATCCTCATCTATCATCTCTATTTTTCTGTCTATCTATAAAACTTCCTTCGTAGGACTTTGTAATTCCTTAATTTGAGATAGTCGGGGCAACTGGATGAAGCTGTGCAGTTGCTGGCTGGATGCCCTTCCTGACGCCTATGCGAAGTTCACAGTGCATTTTGTGATTCTATTCCTTCCTTTTCCGCTGATTTTTTAAAAACTGCCCTTACTAACTTCAGGACTTCAAGTTTTCAACTATCTGCAAATCAGATTAAGCTGCAAATCTTTTATGACAGGATGTCAAAGCAGACAAAAGGATATCTTTACGTCTTTTCCGATTGGTACTCAGTGCATCGGCTTATTTAAATGTTTTTTTTTTATTATTATGACAATTTACATGTCATATTTATATGAAAGAAAGGACAACAGATATTATAAACCAAAACATGATGAAAGAAAAAAAAGTTACACAATCAGGCCTCTGAGCTTTTTTTTTTTTTTTTTTTTAAAGGCCGCAGGCCCAGTTTATACACTAAAAGTTCTGACCAGACCATAGTGAGACAACACTGAACATTTCGTTAACAAAAATATTGGCACCCGCCATAACATTTTTTTAAAAAACTTCAATTTACAAGGAATACAGTATTTAAACAGTCATGTACTGCGAAGTTAAAAACACCAGCTGTTAGTCAACAGCAGTTAACCAGTTTTGTGGGCTGAGAGAATTAGAACATTCTAGATCAGTGATAGCAAACCTTTTCGTCAGAGCCGCGACCAGGAAGAGGAGCTGCCCAGGGGGCATGCGCACGCCAAATAAGGAACTTCCGGTTTCTGGCACGCACATGCGCACCAACCAGCAAGTCTTCTGGTTACTGCCGTGCATGCGCACGTACTGATCAACTGGCCAGCACGCATGATCACGCTGGAAAATGGAAGACCAGCTCTTCTGGTTTCCAGCACTGCCGCACGCACAAAGGCCAGTGGATTGTCGCGTGCGCATGCGCGCCAGAAACCCGGAAGGGGAACAGGTGATGCCATGCGTGCCAGGCAACATGGCTCCACATGCCACTTTTTTTTTTTTTTTTAAATTTTGATTTATATGCCGCCCTTCTCCGGAGACTCAGGGCGGCTTACAATGCGTTAAGCAATAGCCTTCATACTTTTGTATATTTTATACAAAGTCAGCTTATTGCCCCCACAAACTGGGTCCTCATTTCACCTACCTTAGAAAGGATGGAAGGCTGAGTCAACCTTGAGCCTTGGCGAGATTCGAACCAGCAGTAATTGCAGGCAGCTGTTCTTAATAACAGGGTGCTTTAGACCACTGTACTACCAAGGCTCTTGGGGCACACATGCCATAGGTTCGCCTCACGGTTCTAGATCAAATGAAAAAATAAAGCGAGCTCCAAATTTTGTACACTATGAAGAGACATCCTGTTCTCTCCCCCAAATTATCTCTTTCTCTCTCCAAATCTCCACTTTGAATACAACATTTCCAAAAAAAGAGAAAGAAAGAAAGAAAGAAAGAAAAGCAACATGAAACATCCATATGAGAGGGCAGTACAGGAAAAATTTGAAGGGTGCGACAGGTAGACAACGCACACCTGTAGATGGAAACTGCACATCGGTTTCCTAATTAGTCTCCACCAACTTGAGAATGAGACACTCAATCCTGGGATGGGTTGTGTATTTACAGATTCTTGTCCATCCCAAAAAGTGTATACCGCGTGCGTAAAAATCCAGAATGTATTATCCTTCAAAATCACAACTGACTCATATTTTTCTTTAAAGGAAATCACGAGTTTTAAACAAGGCTTAGCAGAAGTTCTTAAGGGATGCAAGTGAATCAATTGAGGATAAGAAGGTTCAAAAAAATGTTACAGTAGTGGCCAAAATTGTGGAAACCTTTTGGGAAAAGTGTATTTTTGAGGTTTGATGGCTAATAATACCAGAATTCTCTTCTCTTCTCTTCTCTTCTCTTCTCTTCTCTTCTCTTCTCTTCTCCTCTCCTCTCCTCTCCTCTCCTCTCCTCTCCTATTCTATTTTATTCTAGAGTTTCAAGATCATCCTATTCCACTGCTGGAATGGCCTGGAAATAGCCCAGACCTTAACCCAATTGAAAATATATGGAGCCGACTAAAGAAATTTGTTAGTCAGAAGCGACTCAGCAATAAAACCCAGTTAATAGAAGCCATCATTCAATCTTGGTTTCGCATTAGAACAGCCGCAGAACTAAAAGACTTGGTTCACTCCATGGGAAGATGTTGTAAGGCCGTCATTCATGCTAAAGGTTACCCAACTAAGTATTAAATGACATGGAAATAATTTTTGTATATCTCGTTTTTTCTATGGTGATCATATTTGTAGATCTCATTCCCCCCCCTCCCGTTTCACTTTTCTTCTTTATACTGTAACTGCTATTCTAACAGCAAATCCTTCATAAAAGTTATTGCAGTACATTCTTGGTTAAATTATCTTCCCATTGATATATAATTTTATGGTATTACTCCAAAAAAAAGTGATGTTATTAGCTAGTTTTAGAAAATACACTTTTCCCAAAAGGTTTCCACAATCTTGGCCACTACTGTAGTTATGCGCTATTATTCTCCAGGCTCAGGTGTGCTACCCAGGTGTTTTCCTTGCCTCCCCTCCTGTGTTGCTATCAATTCTTAGTAATGGGTGTAGAGGTAGTCCTCGACCTATGACCACAATTGAGCCCAAAATTTCTGTTGCTAAGTGAGACATTTCTTGCTACAGTTGTTCAGCGAATCACTGCAGTTGTTAAGGTAGAGGGATCATTAAGTAAACCTGGCTTCCCATTCTGACCTTTCTCATCAGAAGGTTACAAAGGGTAACTCCGCAACACTGCAACCGTCATAAATATGAGTCAGTTGCTGAGTGTCTTAATTTTGATTGCCTGACCTGCAACAGTGCAACGGTGAAATACTGCAATGGTGTGAAAAATTTCAGTGCCGTTGTAACTTCAAACGGTCACTAAACAAACTGTTCTAAGTCGAAGACTTCCCGGAGTGATAAATCCTGCAGTTTGCAGAAAGGTGGACTTGATGATCTCCAAGCTCTCTTCTCTCATTTTAGGATTGAACCATCCTTTGTGGGACTGAAATCCAGACTTAAGACCACTTCCAAAGGAGAATATCTTTGCATTATCTTTGCAAATGGAAATACAGAACTGTGGAGGTAATGTAACTGCCACAGAAGGGGGAAAAAGATAACCCAAACTGAATTATTTTCTACAGACAGGAAGCACCCAGTCCAAAAATCTCAGGGAAGAAACCTGAAACAGCAAGATAAGGTACTCCTTGACTTACAACCCCAATTGAGCCCCAAAGTTTCTGTTGCTCACAGTTGTAAGTTTTGCCCAGGGGTGAAACGCTCCCAGTTCGGACCGGATCGCCCGATCCGGTAGCGATGGCATCAGATGGTTCGGAGAACTGGTAGCAAAAATCCCTGCGGCCCCCCTCTCCACCTTTTTTTTTTTTAACTTTTAAAAGCATTTTTTCTACAACCTCTTCCGACGAAAAAATGCTTTTAAAAGTAAAAAAAAAATCCTCTGATGATCGTGCGGCTTAGCTGGGATCGTCAGAGGCTTTTCAAAGCATTTTTTTCTGCAACCTCTTGGCCGAAGAGGTGGTAAAAAAAAATGCTTTGAAAAGTCTCTGACGATCCCAGCTGAGTTGCCTAATCGGCAGAGAGGCTTTTCAAAGCATTTTTAAAAAAGCCTCTCTGACGATCCCAGCTGAATTGTGTGATCGGCAGAGAGGCTTTTCAAAGCATTAGAAAAAATGCTTTGAAAAGTTAAAAAAAAAAAAAGTTCTCCACGCCCACCCAGTCACATTACCCCCCCTACCAAGCCACGCCCACAGAACCAGTAGTAACAAATTTTACATTTCACTCCTGGTTTTGCCCCGTTTTATGACTTGTCTTGCCACAGTTGTTAAGTGAATCACTGCAGTTGTTAAGTAACACGGTTGTTGA